GCCCAACATTCGCCCCCTGACAAGGCCAGGAGGCAGCAGAGCAAGCAGAACCCCAGAGACACTCACCTGTCCCCACGGAAGAAGAAGGTGTGTCCCGTGGGTTCCCACCAGACAGCCGTGTCGATGCTGTCGTAGGGGATGCCCTGCCCGTAGGTGACCAGGGGCTGTGGGTACCCAGGCTCCAGGTTGGCTTCTCGGAAGAGCCAGTACCGGTCACCTAGAGGGGAAAGAGTTGGAGAAGGGGCATGAGAAGGTCCTGCCCAGCTGCTGTGGCAGGTGCACAAATGGATAGGGATAGTGGTAGATGCCTGTGGCCACCCTGACCCCTTGGGATCACACAGCAGCTGTGGCTGGGGAGGTGGGTCACGATGAGATGAAGCCAACCAGCTCTCAACAGCTTTGTGGGGGACACTGGTGTCTCACTTCCACCTCAGCCCTCCCATCCAGCTTCCCTGCTCACCTTTAAAGAAGACGAACCTCCCGTCATGCCTCTCGTAGGCAGCATCGATGTCCCCAGGGAGGCCCCGCCAGAAGTGTCCGATGGGCATGGGGTAATTGTCCAGCACCCGGTTGTGCCGGACTCTCCAGAACCACCGGCCCTGGAAAGAAACAGGGTGTTGGCAGAGGATGGGCAGGACACAGGGACACAGTCACCTTGCTGAGGGGTCCTCCCACCCACAGACTGATGACATGACCAAGGAAGGGGCAGAAGTGGGTCCTGGCAGGCACCTTGAATACAAACATCTCCCCACGCAGCACCGCCACCGTGTCGAAGTCCCCATCGCAGATGTCGGGGCCGTACTGGTCAGGTCGGTCTGGGCTGCCAGGTTTGGGTGGTCGGTCTGGTTTCCCCGGAGGGGGAGGTTTAGGGGGTCTCTGGTCTGGCCTGCCAGGTCTCCGGGGTGTCACGGTGGGCAAAGGCTTGGTGGGCTGAGGGTGCCCATCCGCGGTACCTGGATCAGGCAGGTGAGAGAAGGGATGTGGTGATGCAGATCAGCAGCACCTGCAACTCAGTTTCCCCACACACATGGCCAGAATCCCACCACTGGGATGATCCCCCCACCAGCTCCTCACCGTAGAGCTGCTGGATGCCCTTGAGGTCATCCTCGGGCAGCTGGAAGTTCTCTGTGTCCATCCACTGGTAGAAGGGTGCCATGATAGCACTGGGGTTGCTGGAGTGCTCCAGGCCCAGCGAGTGCCCCAGCTCGTGCACAGCCACCAGGAAAAGGTTGTTCCCTGCATGGAGAGGCACCATCAGCAAGAGGGGGTGGAGAACATGACACATGAGGCAGATCCCTCAAACCAGCACCCTGCAACAGAAGTGCTCCAGTGGGATCAGCCTGCATCACCCATGGTGGACCTGCTCTCCCTGCCAATCCTGTCCACACCAGCACAGCTCCCCTCTCCACCCACAGTGGCCACCAGGCTCCTCTGGTCACCTTTAGCACCTCCTTGGCCCTCAACTCACCAGACACATCCGCATTCTCCAGCGTCCAGGGCTCATCCAAGTCGAAATGTGTGTCCCCCCCCATACCAGGGCCAGGAAAATAGGCATGAGCCAAAAATCCCCCAAGGCCATCAAAGGGAGAGCTGTCTCCATGGAATCCAGAGGCAAAAAGCACCATGATGTCAGCCTCCTTCTTCCTCTTCTGCCGGATGTCCTCGTAGGCCACCTCCCGGAACACCAGCGGCGTGGCTTGCTCCCACACGCGGAAAGCTCGTCGGACAGCCTCGTGGGAGTGGTACCGACCCAGCTTCTCCGTGTAGTTTTGGATGCTACAGGGGATATAGAATTCACTAGGGAAGGCCTGGAGCAGCACTCATTCCCTGAGGGGCTCCATGGCTCTCCATGGGCTGGGGGAGGGAATCCCTGGGTACCTGAAGGTGAGGTGGCTCTGGCTCCAGCGCCGCCCTGTCAGCGCGTACCGCTTCCGACGCATGTTGGACTTCATCCGTGCTCCAAACTGATCCGGAACCCCACAGCGGGGACGCTTCATCCACCTGCCAGGAGGACACCAAGCCAGGGCTCAGCCCACCACAGTCAACATCCCTGAGGGGTTACAGCACCCACAGCCAGCAGGGACAATATCCTGACTGCAGAGGGGCAGCCCCCAAAAGGGGAGAAGCACCTCCCCCAAAAGGGGGACAGCACCCATTTTTCCAGGGCCAACAGAGCCCCGAGGCTGTCAGAGAAAACCACAGAGCCCAAGAGTGGAGCTGCCATCTGCCTGAGCAAGGGGACAATGGAGAAACTCACGCCTTGGTCTCCTCATCCAGGACGCCGGTGACGGTGATGCCGTAGAACTTCTGCATCTCGGCGAGCGCGGCAGAGAAGGTCTGGGCCGAGCGCATGGTGGACATGCGGCGGCTGGGCTGCGGCAGGTACCCGTAGAGCCGCAGCCATGCCTGCCCGGGAGAGCCGCGCGTCAGAGCGGGTCAGTGCCAGCTGCCAGTGGCAAATGCCACCCCGAGCAGGCAGCGCTGCGGCAGCAGGGCACGGGGACCCTGCCCTGCCCTGCAAGGTGGGAGAGCCGGGGATCTCGGGGGGCTGCTGCCGGATGGGCTGACTCCCGGGACCAGGCAGCTGGCAGGGGGCCAGGCTGCCTGCGGGCTCCTGTCCCCGTCCTCCTCCGGAGGCGTCCCCCGGGAGCTGCCGAGGGATGTGAAGCCTGGGACCCCCACCCCGGCCTGCACCCACAAAGGGGCATCTGTCCTGCGGGGCTGCAGCCCCAGGGCGGGGGGCAGGAGGGTGCACAGGCGCGCCGGGGCTCTTCCTTCCTGCCCCAGCCTCCGCCTCCCCTTGTCTGCTTTAATTGCATTTTATTTTTATCTTTATTATTACTCTTTTGTAACTTTTATTTTCCTCCTAGTTTTCACTTATATTTTCCAAATTAGGGGGGTTTTCCTTTTATTCTTTCAAGCTTTTTTTTCTAAATTCCTTCCAATTCTTTTTCCTTTTCCAAGTATTACTCTTCCAAGTCTTTTTCCTTTTCCAAGTCTTGTTCTCCAGGTTCTCCAATCCTTTTCCTATCCCAATTATTTTCCTAAGCCAATTCTTTTCCTATCACTTTTCCCCCCCCCCCCAAAAAACGGCTTAATGTTTTCAATTGCTAAAAACACTAAAACTATTAAATTCTTCTACCCTCACTCCCCTTCCCCGGCAGGGTGGTGGAGCAGAGCCTTTATCAAAAGCCCTTTCACCCCCTCCCCCGCCGGGCACAAAGCGCTTCCTCCCCACACCCCGCGCCCGCCGCCCGCCACCCCGGGGGCGATCCGCACCGCACCCTCCCGTTCCCCGCCTGCACCTGCCCCGGCCGGGTGCGGCGGGCCCGCAGGTGCCGGTGCGGGCCGGGGGTGCGGGGGGTGCGGAGCCCCGGGCCCGTGCTCACCTCGGCGTTGATCTCCTCGCCCGCCGCCCCCGCCAGCAGCACCAGCAGCACCACGAGCGGCGGGAGGCGCCCGCCCGCCCGCCAGGGGGCGCCGCCCCCTCCTGCCATTCCGCGCCGCCGCCGGGTCGCGGCTGCCCCCGGCCGCGCCGGGCCGGGCCGGGCCGGGCCGGGCCGAGCGCGGCGGTGTCGGAGCTACGCCGCCCTCATGGCCCGGGGCCGAGCCGCCGCGGGGGGCTGCGCACGGTGCATGGGAGGCGCTGCCAGGCGCGGCCCGTCGCCTCCCGGCCCGCCTTTTGTGCGTGAGGTCAGCTCGGCGGCGCGCGGCACATGGGCGGCCGGCCGGCGCGGCGGGGCCCGGCTCCGCTGGCTGCCCTGCCGCGCTCTGCCCGCCGCCGGGAGCACCGGAGCGGCTGGCGGAAGGCGGGCGCGGCGGCGGCGGCGGCGGCGGAGGGGAGCGGTGGGAGCGGGCGGGGCGGGGCCGCGGCGGGGGCGGGGCCGCGGCGGGGCGGGGCCGGGGAGGCGGGGCCGCCCCCCCGCACGTGTGTGAGCGGCGGGGCCGCGGGGAGAGACCCCCGAACCGGGCATAGACCCCGAACCGGGGAGAGACCCCAGAACCGGGGAGAGACCCCCCCCGAACGGGGAAGAGACCCCGCAGCGGGCAGGGACCCCAACCGGGCAGGGACCCCTGCACCGCGCAGAGCCCCCTGAACCGGGCAGAGACCCCCGCACCGGGCAGAGAGCCCCGAACCAGGCAGAGACCCCCGCCCCGGACAGAGACCCCGGCCCCGGGCAGAGGCCCCTGAACCGGGCAGAGACCCCGCACCGGGCACAGGCCCCCGCACCCAGGCAGAGACCCCGCACCGGGCAGAGACCCCCGCACCGGGCAGAGTCCCTCGCACCCGGCCCTGCCGGCAGCCGCCACATCCCCGACTTTGCCCCCACAGCCACCGTGCCCTGTCCCGGGGGTCTCTGACACCCGGTGTTACACAACCGGGGGCAGTGCCAGGCCCGGCTGGGGCCGGTGGTTGAGCATTAACCTGGGAGAAACCGGTTTCACTGAAGTCCCCAGGGGCTAAATATATCTCTGTTTGTTTTTCTTTGCCCCAAAAGAAACTTATCTTGCAGATCCCCATCCCGGAAACTAACTGGCTAAAGACTTAACAGATTTTTTTGTTGAGCACTTCAAAAGGCTGCTGGCAGCGGCAACTGGCTGTGATGCTTCCAGCGACACAAATCCCGACTGTCTGGAGATGCTCCCACAGACAAAGCCACTCTCTGTGCCAGGACAGGCAGCACGGAGCTCACAGGAGCACTTACAGAAGTGGCCTCACGTGAAACCTTGCAGGAGTTGTGCGTGTCTAAAAGGAAATGGCTGAAAAACACCACAGACACAGTTTTATGAAATGAGGAAACAGATTTTTACTGTTCAGAAGTCCTGGACAGACATGGAATAAACGATTCAGGGCATCACATCAGCATCCTGTTCCAAGTACTTGAGAAGTTGCAGCTGACCAACCCATAGGGACAAAAGGATAAAAAGGAGTTTCTCCCAAGGGACAATGTCCAGCCTGCAATCCCCTGGGTCATCATCCACCCAGTGTGCTGATCACACAGTGTGGAGCCTGGGCAGGAGCCGCCACCCCTTGACTCACCTGTGGGCACTGCCCTCCCAGCCCAGGCAAACACTGACACTGTCCCTTCCAGGGCTCACGCACACCTGGCAGCAGCTCTTGTTCTTTGGCAAAAGGATCAGACACTGAAATGTCTCTACAGAGGCAGCAGCAGTGAGAGGGACACAAAATGACTCAGGAGCTTGTCCGAGCTGGCTTACAGTAGCAAAACACTCAGGGAAGAGGATCCAGCTCCGTGTCCTTCCCTCTTGCTACTCAAAACATGCCCAGAGCCTCCCAAACAACAATCTGGCAGTGCTACTTCCCACTGTGCGAGACACTCTCCCTTTAGTAGCAGCTTCCCACGCTACCTTCTTCCTCCTTCCCATAAGGCATCTATGGCTTTTGAAGATTTTTTTTCTCTTTTTAAAAAAATCAGCAAAATTAGCGACCGCGGGATGTCTGGAACCGCCGGTGCTGACTGCAGCACATCCAGCAGCGAGGATGAAATCTGCTACAAGCACACTTTTCTTCAGCCAGCAGCTCAAACTGGAAGTGGCCAACTTGAGGCCACCAACGCCGCAGAGACGCTGAGCAGGCAAGAGGAGCGCAGAGGTGCGTGACAGCCCACGGCACGCAGAGCTGTGCCAGACTGCAGCCTTGTTCCCGTGTCAGGCTCTTCGGGGCTCCAAAAGGCACAGCCCCACCTGCCCTACCTGAGGGGGAAGGAGAAGTACTTGTTCCCCGACTTGCAGCGGATTTGATCCCATTGGATACGCAGCAGGAATTCTGACTCCTCAAACCCATCCACAATGTCCTGGAAAATAGAGGCAGGAGTCAGTACCAGGAGAGTGGATCTGCCAGAGGATGGAATCGGCAGCTCTCTGTCTGAAGGAAGTCACAGATGAAGCCATTTGCAGCTGGAAGCCTCTGACTTCCCTCAGGAGGGTTATTTAATTCACACTCCCCCCAAAAGCTTCTCATCTTTCAGCCCACTGAAGTTCGTCCTGCTGGGTTGAAGAGCACGTCCCACTCTGCCCCCCTGGCAGGGAGATGTGGCTGCAGTCCAGCTCTGCCCTCCCCCTGCCCTCCACACCACCCCACGTCTGTGGGGACACACCTGGAGCTCCCGCAGACACTGCCCCTCCAGCCTGCCAGCCAGGTCCCCCACGCACCAGGCCAAGCTGATGTGGAACGATGGGTCCTGAAGGCAAAACAAACAGGGGTAAGAATGTGAGGGCTAAAGGAGGCTTTGCTCAATGCACAGAGCCAGTGGGAGATCTGGCATGATGCTGCTGCCCTGCCTGGGCTCACAGAGGCTGGAGGATCCCAAAGCTGGGAGTCCCCTCTGCCAACTCAACAGCTGCAGAGCTGCTGTGGACAGTGCTGGAGGCAAGAGGAGTCCTGGGCTTCCCACCCCAGCCCCTTTGGACTCCATGGGCAAGGCTGCTGGTTCCCAGCCTCCCTGTGCTCAACTCTGCAGCTGTGGGAGAATCTCACAGCACTGGTTTTGGAGCAGGTACATGGGCCACTGCTGAATAATCCACATGAGCTCCCTGCTCAGCTCTAAACACACAAACTGGGCTCTGGCCCTTCAAAATCCCAAACCTGTTCCCAAAGCTAGTACTAAGCAAAAAGGCTGGACTAATGCCCAAAAAAGCTGCTCAAGGCAAAGACACAAGGATTGTCCTCAGTCCCACAGTGCCCATTCTATCCTAGGACAACCCCGTTTCCATGCACAGCAGGGCAGCCACTGCAACTGGCTCCTGTTTACTTGAGTGAACATCTCACAGGGAACCAGCCAGCATGTCCAGACTGGCAGGGGAGCAAGCAGGAACGCCTCACCTTGTAGAATGTGGGAAGGTCAAATTCCTCTAGAATGCCATCCACCTCCGAGACCAGCTCCAGCAGCTGGAAATGCCCAGCAGAGACCTCCAAGCCAATAAAGGTCCTAAAGAAAGGCAAGGAGAGACTGCAAGCACTGTTTCATGCTGCAGAAAGCACAACTCTAAGAACACACAGCCCTTCATTCCTACCAGGCAAGTTCCCTACTCCCTAACACAAGGAAATCTGAGGAATGCCAGGTTTAAGCATCCAGGGATGCTGATTGTATTCTGAAGAAAAACAGAAGATGTGGTAGCAGGGAGAAGCAGGGCTGGATGATAAAACCATGTAGATTTACTAGATTAGCCTAGTACATTTTGGGACATGAAAATCAGTTTTCTAGGCAAAGGATGCACTGGGTGGGAATTTCAGCAGAGTGCTGTGCCCATGCAGGAGCTGCATTAAAAAAGTGGAAGTTGCTGGAGAGGTTTTACAGTGTGAGAGGAAGCAGGGAATGGGAAGTACCAGGCTGGAGAGATGTGACAAAGAAGTCAGCACCTCCTCCAGGACTGTTGGGATGACACTTTCTAGAGTCATTTAGAGTCATCATTTCTTCTCATCCAAGAGGGAAGCAGAAGATTCAAGTGTCACCCAGGTTCCACATCCACTTTTTCCTACCCATGACTATCTTGGGCTGCCTTTCCCACCAGATTCAGCAACTTTCTGCAATTTTAATCACCTTTGCTTTGACATTCAAAAAAAACCTTAATGGCATTCTGTTGGAATCAGGCTTCTGAGCTGACGCCCAGGAGAATTAGCACCATCTCAGCTATTTCTCTCCAGCTCTTGGAAGACCTGCACTACAATTTCACGACTGGCACTGCTGCCAAAAGAGGTGGTCCCACTCTGCTCGCCCCAGGCTGTGCACACCAGCTAATGAGACCAAAAGCTTGCAGAGAATCAGTGCCAAAGCCAAAAATTTGTACAGATGGCTGGGGAAAGGTGTGAAATGTCTGGAGATGATCCGGAGGTGATCACAGACTGTGTTGTCACACAGCCCAACTGTGGGACAGGCAGGGTGACACTCCCCATCCACCCAGCACCTTGCTCAGAGTTCTCCTGGGGCAGGCAGGCTGCTCCACCGTGCACTCACCTGGTTTTGTTCTGGTTGGTGTAAACCTTCACTTGGTCAGCCACGCAGAAGAACCTGAAATAAGAAAGATCCTATTTCAGCTGCAGGGAAAGAAAATAAAAAAGGACAAGATGATGAGGGGCCAGGATTGTTACCAAGCGATGGAAAGATACAGGCAAATATATGCTGCAATTGGACCCAATTGGTGCAACCAGAACCTCTTGGGGCTCAAATTAATTAATTCCCCTCCTGTTTCCAACCCTCCAAAGCCTGACAGGGACGGAAGCCTTGAAGCAGCTGATGCTCAACCAGTGCCTGAGCCAGATGTAAGCAACAAAACCACCCATGGTGAAGAGGATGGCACAGCTCTGGCCTGATCCTGGAAAGCCAAAACCTGACGTGTCTGGTGCCAGATCCCGAGGCAGTGAGGAAAAATCCCCAGGGCTTTAATGTGCTGCCAGCACCAGCTGCCAGGGACACCTTAGGGCGTGGATGCTGGCAAAGCACGGGTCCTGAGGGCAGGGGAGGGTGTGCGGAGCGCCCTGCCGGGGCTCTGCCAAACCCACCTGTGGAAGGCTGCCAGGCGCTCCCGGAGGCAGCGGACGAAGGGCTCGATCCAGTGGTAGCGCAGCACCACGCACTGCGAGAGGCTCACGTGGAACTCCTCCATGGCAGCCAGCGACGGCACGAAGGTGCGGGCGTGGGACACGAGCAGCTCCAGCAGCTCCAGGAACTCCTCCTGGGCAGTGTCTGCGGGGTAGCGCCGTCAGAGGGGCCGCGCATCCCCGCAGGGACCGGGGGAGAAGCGGCTGAGCTCCATCCCGCCATCCTCCCAGACCCAGCCCGGTCCCGGTCCCGATCCATCCCAATCCCGGTGCCGGTACCTACAGGGCAGGTAGACGTGCGTGGCCCAGTTGCCCCGCTCGTGGGGGAAGCCTCGCACGCGGCCGCCGTGCCGGGAGCTGTCATCGCTCACGGCCTCATCCGGGTCCGGGTCTCCGGGCAGGCCGGCGGGCACGGGCAGGCGGGGGCGGCCGGCGCTGCGGGACCGGAGCGGGGTGAGAACGAGGAAGAGGAGGAGGAAGGCCGCGCGCTCCCGCCGCCTCCCGCGCGCTCCCGCCGCCGCCACCCCACCGCACCCACCTGGCCCCGGGGGGCCCCTGCGCGCCGCCGCCCCGGCTGCCCCCTTCCTGCTCCTGCTCCTCCTCGGAGCTGCTGTAGCCCACCAGCGCGGCGCTCATGGCCGCGGCCCCGCCGCCACGGCCCGCTCCCCGCTCCCCGCTGGCAGCGCAGTTGCCGGCGCGGCCCGGCAGGGGGCAGCACCCGCCGCGCCCGCCCCGCCTCCTCCGCCGCCGCCGCGGCCGCCCCGGCCCGGCCCGCTCCGCTCGCTCCGCTGCGCTCCCGCCCGCCGCTCGCTCGCTCCCTTCCCTCCCTCCCCTCTTCCCTCCCGGCTCCCGCCTCCACGCCAGCGCGGGGCTCGGGCGCAGCGCGCAGGCCGCGGCCCTGCCGCCGGCGAGGCCTCCTCCCGCCGTAGGTGATCGGCCCGGCCGCCGCCGCCGCCCTTTGTGTGCGCCTCGCCGGGGCGGGGGCGGCCCCGGGCGGGCAGCGACCCCCTACACCCGACCCAGCGCGGGACCTCCCGGCGCGGCGGCGGTGAAGGCCCCGGGGCGCCGTCCCCGCGCTGCCAGCGGGGCCGCCCGATGGGGAGCGGCGAGCGGCGGGCCGGGCCTGGCCGCGGGCTGCGGCGGCGGCGGCTGCTGGTGGCCTGCGAGCTCCCCGGCCGCCCCCGCGCCCCGCGGCCCTGAGGCGGCCCGGGCCCGGCGGGAGCAGCCGGGCCATGCCGAGCAGGCCGCCTCGCCAGTTTGAAAGTACCTCTGCGCTCCCGACCGCGCTCCCTAAATGGTTGTCGCTTCCCACCTCCCACGGAGGGATGAGTTAGGCTGGAGCTGGCGCCGACGCGGGTCCCCGCGCAGAGCCCTCGGTAAGCCAAGGTTGGTATCGCTCTCCCCTGCGAGGGGCACAATTCTCCCTCCCCGTTAGCCCGGGATGCGCCGCCGGTGGGTTCATCCTGCCGCGGTCCGCGGTGTGTGCGGGGGAAGGTGGCGCCCGGGCTGGGCTGAAGTTTGGTGTCCCGCCGAGCTCGGTGCAGGTACCGGCAGTGCGAGCCCTCGCTCCGTCAAGGTGAGCTCTGGAGGAGAAGGAGAGCATCCTGCGTGCCGGCATGGCTGCGATGGTGCCTCTGGGGGCTTTACTGCCCCGAACTGGGCTGGAGCACAAAATAATGAAGTGTCCCCACAGTCAGAGCCCTACCTGAGCTGTGGGGCTCAACCCCATCTCAACTGAGTGCCAGTGGAGGTGGGGATGCTGGGGAGTGGGATTCTCTGGTGCTCTTTATTGCATAGTTTTAAACATAAAAAATATTCTTGTGGTAGACCAAGGATTTCCTTACCCTGAGGGCAGATGGTTTGATGCAGACATGGGGATGCCCTCAAGGCTCAGGAGTGTTGGTGGCTGCTGCTCACCAGGGCTTGCACCTTCTTCTCTCTTGAGGTGTGTTGACACTGCTGCTATCTGCTGCTCGCTGGTGGGTCTTATTCTTCTCTAAGCTGGTGCCAGGTTTTATTGGACATCTCACTTTTCAGTGAACCTGATGATGCTCTGTAGCAAGGCCAGGCTGCAGCTCTGGCATAGGTTGGTTGGCTTCAGTGTAATTTTATTGCGTGGTTTGGTAGGAGGTTCAGCTAAGCCACTGCTTTAACTGTACTTTTATCTTCACAGAGTGATCCCTGTGTCTGAGGATAGGATAACACTGAGGGCAAATGTTCTCCTGAGCTCCCTGGCTCTTCCATTCCACAAGCACTGCCCAGAGAGGGGGAAATTATTTGAATACATCCCTTGGGGGTAATGGGCTCGATATCCAAGCTGCAGGAGGAGCAGAACCGTTTCACAGAGCTGTTTCAGCTGGAGTGGGATCATGTTAGGATGTGTAAAATCTAACCCAGTACCTTCTTGATTGCAGTGTTTGGTGCATAGCCTGTGCAGAGAGACCGATGTTCTGGGACAGTGCCACAGCAGTGCTGGAGATCCAGTGACCACTCAGGGCTGAGCTGAGCAGGCCCTGGGCAGTTGTGCTGCCTCTCGTGAGAGCACAACACCCAAACTGTGTCCAAGCTGAGTCCAGCCCTTTCCAGGCTGAGAACTCCTTGTCCCAGGCCCTTTTCACAGCAGCAAGTAGAGCTCTGGTTCCACCGGCTTCCTGGTAGCTTTTCAGGGATGCAGGAGAGTTTTCAAAGAGAGCCATGAGGGAAGGTTGATGGAGAATTGCCCACGTTTCTTCTAACACCTGACATGAGCTGTCTTCTTTCCTGCAGAGAGAGCTGCTCCCTGGGTTGATTCCTGTGCCCCTCACAAGTGTGAGCACATCGCAGCCAGCACTGAGAAGATCCTCCTGCCCTCTTCAAGGCACTTGCCTCTGCCTCCTGTTCCTTTGTCCAAAAGAAGGAAAAGCCAGACCAAATCAGTCCATAAAGAACCTGTGCTGGTCTAAGGAGGAGGCTCTGGAGTCTCTTCACCACTTTTCTTCCCAGGATCCTGGCTGTGGGCTGGATTTTCTGGTCTCAACTTGAGGGGATCATTTACAGGGAACCAGGATCTCAGAATCTTTGTGTCTTGCTTTTACTTGAACCCTTTCATCCGGGAAGCTGAAGCTATCACTGCTAAAATCCCATTTTTTTCCCCAAGCATGTCAGAAAGCTGGCAGCAGCAACAGCAGCAACCACAGCAGCCGCCGCCACCGCAGCAGCACCACGCTGGGGCAGCCGCCCTCCCAGAGCACTCCATCCCTCCCAGCACTGCTGACAACCCCCTGGGCTGTGCCGTGTACGGCATCCTGCTCCAGCCAGACCCTGGACTGCAGCACCACCAGCACGCCCCCATCCAGGCTGGAGAGCCGTCCCACAAGTGCGGTGTGTGTGGCCATGACCTCGCCCACCTCTCCAACCCCCACGAGCACCAGTGCTTGCCAAGCCATGACCGCTCTTTCCAGTGTACCCAGTGCCTGAAGATCTTCCACCAGGCCACCGACCTCCTCGAACACCAGTGTATCCAGGTGGAGCAGAAGCCTTTCGTGTGTGGGGTTTGCAAGATGGGTTTCTCCCTCCTGACCTCGCTGGCGCAGCACCACAACGTCCACAACGGCAACGCCATGAAGTGCTCCATCTGTGAGAAGACCTACAAGCCTCCCGAGGTAGAGCATCCACAGCCTCTCGACCCCTCGGAGAAGCCCTACAGCTGCTCCATCTGTCAGAAAACCTTCAAGCACCTCTCGGAGCTGTCCCGGCACGAGCGCATCCACACGGGCGAGAAGCCGTACAAGTGCACGCTGTGCGACAAGAGCTTCAGCCAGTCCTCCCACCTGGTGCACCACAAACGGACGCACAGCTCCGAGCGGCCCTACAAGTGCACGGTGTGCGAGAAGACCTTCAAGCACCGCTCCCACCTGGTGCGCCACATGTACGCGCACTCGGGGGAGCACCTCTTCAAGTGCAACGTCTGCGAGCTGCACTTCAAGGAATCCTCGGAGCTGCTGCAGCACCCCTGCACGCCCAGCGGGGAGCGGCCCTTCCGCTGCGGGGAGTGCCAGAAGGCCTTCAAGCGCCCCTCGGACCTGCGGCAGCACGAGCGCACGCACAGCGAGGAGCGGCCCTTCAAGTGCGACCTGTGCCAGATGAGCTTCAAGCAGCAGTACGCGCTCATGCGCCACCGCCGCACGCACAAGGCCGAGGAGCGCTTCAAGTGCAACCTGTGCGAGAAGGGCTTCGTGCAGCCCTCGCACCTGGTGTACCACCAGCACGTGCACGGCATAGAGAACCTCTTCAAGTGCAACGTGTGCCAGAAAGGCTTCAACCAGTCCTCGGAACTGCTGCGGCACAAGTGCGTGCAGAACGCGGAGCGGCCCTTCAAGTGCGCGGTGTGCAACAAGTCCTACAAGCGGGCCTCGGCTCTGCAGAAGCACCAGCTGGCCCACTGCGCCGAGAAGCCGCTCAAGTGCACGCTCTGCGAGAGACGTTTCTTCTCCTCCTCGGAGTTCGTGCAGCACCGCTGCGACCCGGCCCGCGAGAAGCCCCTCAAGTGCCCCGACTGCGAGAAGCGGTTCAAGTACGCGTCGGACCTGCAGCGGCACCGGCGCGTGCACACGGGCGAGAAGCCCTACAAGTGCTCCTCCTGCGAGAAGGCCTTCAAGCAGCGCGAGCACCTCAACAAGCACCACAGCGTGCACGCCCGCGAGCAGCAGTACAAGTGCATGTGGTGCGGGGAGAGGTTCCTGGACCTGGGCCTGCTGCAGGAGCACAGCGTGCAGCACACGGCCGAGGGTGCCTACCAGGTGGCCGCCTGCTTGCCGTGAGCCTCCCGCCCCACCCTGGCTTTCAGCTTGCATGGGACGCTCCCGAGCCTCGGCCTTCCCTCTCCAGCCTCCAGGGAGTGTGGGGGAAAGGGGGGACACGGTGTGTGGGCAGGTAAACTTTCCTCTGGCCTCAGATATGCCACCTGTATGGAAGTAGCAACAGACGACGTGGACATCTCAAAGGGGTGGAAAGGAAAGGAGGGAGGTGGAGGGAGGAAGCTGTGCCTGTAGATGCCTGTTGTTCCCTGGACTGTAGTTCGTGCTGTACCTGCAGTTCCAGTCCTGGGAGCTCAGCTGTCTGTTGCAGGCACCAGCTCTTTGCGTGCAGCCTTTTTCCCCTGTCCTGCCTGGCAGGGTTGGTGGGGAGGATTGGGTGACTCTCCTTCTGGAGAGGCTTTAGGAGCAAGGCAGAGGCAGCCCTCCCTTCTCCCAGGGAGTGCTGCTTGGCATACAGATGGCAGGTTCCTGCTGCTGGGGTCTCCCAGCTTGGTCCAGGCTCAGTTGAGGGCATCATTTCACATCATTAGTGTTGATTGACTGCCCCAACCTCCCCTGCTCTCCCTCCTTCTAGAGTGTTGAAAGGGAAAAGCCATGGGGCTCCACAGCTCCAAAAAGCACTTTGGCATTGCTGCTTTTGCAGTGGCTGGCTGTCACACTCTGCAGGGGTCTGAGTGAGCCTGCCTGCCCCCTGTCCCTGCCAGCTGCACAGGGAGCTGTAGGAAGCTGCCACCAGAAAGCATGGCAAGGAGCACTGGGACAGTCTGCCTGGGGGGAGATCATGGATCCTCCCTTTCTGGAGACATTCAAAACCCACCTGGACAAATTTCTGTGTAACCTACTTTAGGTGACCCTAACTTAGCAGAGGGGTTGGACTAGGTAATCTCCAAAGGTCCTTCCAGCCCTAAAGTTCCATGGTTCTGTTACAGCATTCATTCCCTGCTCCCAGCCAAAGCCTGCCATTCCAGAGCTGCTTCCCAAGGCACTCAGCCTCCTCCTGCCTTGCCTCCAGCCCCTTGGGCACCCTTGGGCTGGCTGTGGTACCTCCAGCAGGGTCAGGCAATGGCTGTCACAGCTCCAACACTAAGGGGTGAGATGAACACTACAATAACCTACAGCTGCAGAGGTGTTGCCATGGCCAGCATAACCCACAGCATGTGCCAGAGGCTTGGTGTCTGATTTGCTGGAGGAACCAGAGCAAGCCAGGAGAATCCTTTATGGCCTGCAGGCTCAGCTCCATGGGGAGGGCAAAGTTAGCAGTGGGTAAAGGAGAAGTCTATTTTTTCCCCTCTTGCAGGAGTCCTGTTTTACCCCTTTGCCCTTTCTTTACCTCGTCTGTATTCTTCAGGTTTTGCACACTTCTTGTAAACATCACTTCAAAATAAATCTCCCCTAGCAAGGTTGATGCAGCCTCAGGTGTTTTCATCTGCAGGAATTTGCAGGCTTCTCATGTCCAGGAGATCCATTACATGTCAGTTAGATGCCTTGGAGGTTGAAGTTGTGCCTACTAGGTTGTCCCCCAGCCTTCCCCCTCCATCTTTGGAGATACTGAGTGTCGATCTGGGGAGATGTTCAGGCCCTGGCTGGATGTGGTCTGAACAACCTGCTGGAGCTGACCAGTGCAAGCAAGGAGTTGGACCTGGGGGTCTTCAGAGGTCCCTGCCAGCCTCAGCCCAACTCTGGTGTTGGCTGGTGCTCCTGTGAGGTTGTAGGGAGCAGCCAGGGTGTTGCCATGTGCTGCACGAGGACAAGGTTATGGCTGTTGTCCATGGCAAGTGTAGACAGATTAACCTTGCAGGACTGGGCCTGCATCCCTGTTGGGGGACACTTGTCTGAAAGGTGGAGAAAGGCTTTCGTTTTCCATTTCCAGCACAGTGTGGGGGAACAGGGTGCATTTTGAGGGGCTGGGACAGGGAAGTGACAGGGTAGACCCTGGGGCTGAGTCTTCTTCATGTGCAACTTAAAGGTGATTAAAACAGACTGTGCTCTCTGCTGCCCAAGGAAGAGGGACCCATGATGGTTATCTCACTTTGTGCTGCCTCAAAGATGTAGAACTTCCTACCAAGTTTTCCATCTGTGTTTCTTTTTCCTCTTTTTTTTTGTTTTACCTTTTTTTTTTATAAAAGCAGTTTGTTAAAATTCATTAAAAATACTGTATAGTTTAACTTGATGTCATACTGAATCTTTAAAAAACAAAAGAGATGTGGTAACTTGGATTTTTAAAGAGCTCTTTAGTTCTAGGTAACTGGTTTTTGCTGTTTAATATGTAGTAAGTTCAGTGTATGCTTTACTGTAGGAGTAAAAGAGAGTCCAAACAAAGGAAGGCTAATCCTGTCTTTGCAGAAGGGCTTGGTGGTGATGGAGGCTCGAATGTGGGACCAGATGAGGGCTGTGGCACCCCCCTGAACCTTTGCTCTGTTCTTGCCTTGGGCCATGGCTCCTCTGCTCTTTGCCAGCACAGCTGCCAGGGGTTCAGTGGTCACTGGCAGCCAGGATCAGTGCCCAGGGCTCAGAGCTTGCAGAGAGGCTCAGCTTTGCCAGGAGGAGGGTGTGAGACAGAGTCAGCTGCAGCCTCCATGGGCTGTTGTGGCTCTGCTGTTTCTTTCTAGAGCAGCAGAGGAGGGTTTGGAGGAATCATCAGCTGGATCAGCTGGCTGTGCCCTGCTCTGTCCCTCCCCAGGAGCCTGGGTGACTGCCTGGGTGACTGCCTGGGTGACTGCCTGGCACCTGGGGCAGAGGAGAGTGGTGCTGGGCCCAGACACAGCTCCACACTGTGCAGAGCCATGGGGCTGCCAGGTGCTGTCCCCTTGTGCAGCTGGACACAGGGACTGTTTGGGGTGTTTCTCTTCTGCTGAGCAGCTGGGAAAGCCCTGGGTGTCCCAGTGAGGCACTGCCTGGAATGTGGCAATGGCCAAGCAGTGCCCTGGGCAGAGAGACTCATCTGGGCTGTGTGCATGGGACCCCAGGCCAGAGAGGGGGTGCTGTGTGGAGTTTGGCAGGGGTGAGCCCAGGTCCAGGTCATCAGCTGGTCAATAGGTGCCTCCAGGTTCAAAAACATCATGGTGCAGGATTAGAACATCATTATTAGGCCTGGCTGTGAGTCCATGGTGACTCACTCTCTTGTTTCATTTGCTGCCCTGCAGGAGCCCAGACCCAGCTGAAGCCCATGGAGAACATGCAGCTGGAGCTTGTGGGTGGGGTGGGCACTGAGTGGCCACAGAGAGCTTTGGGTATATTTTCATAGGAGCATTTTGCAGCTGGAAGCAGCAGTGTTGCCTGCAGGGGTGGGGGAAGCAGCTCCATCTCCATTGCTGTGCCTCTAGGTCGGGTTGTGGCCAGTGAGGTGGGAGGAGGTGGCAGCAGCAGGAGGCACAGGAGTGTCAGGGGCACTGTGCTGCTGTGTGGGGAGGCACAGGCTGGCCTGGGGGCTGCTGTCCCTGGGGCATCACACTCAGGGCTCTGCTCACTGCTGGTGTTTCCTTTTCAAACCAAAGAGCAGCTGGGGCCAAAGCCTGCTGGGGAGTGAACCATGCCTCTACTCTGTACCTGTTGCACTTCACTTCTGGGGTTTATTTCAAGCAACTTTCAGACTCCAGCCTCTGCTTGGCCTCTTGCATTCCTCACTGCCCTGCAGCACCCCAGAGAGCTCCTGTGCTGGAGCTGCTGTGCCATCAGCCCTGTGGCAAGTGCTCGAGGCAGTTCAGGGCCTGGTTGCGGCCCAGTGAGGATGCTGAGGGGCTGGGTAGGGGGTTCCTCCCAAAGGATGGTTCTCCTTGGCGGGCAGGCTGAGCAGGTGGAGAGGAGGGTTAGGTTGGGGAGAGGTTGTGTGGGTGTTCTCTAGGACATAAGTCCTGCTCTCTAGGGCTGCTGTTCCTCTGGCTTCCTGGATCCAGGAAAAGGCAATCTGTAACCTGGACTTCTACTGACCTTCACTTCCCCTGACCCTACCTACAGGATGCCTTTAGCTGTCTCAGCCCCTTCCTTTCCACAGTTTATACTTTTAAAGGACATTCTCAGCTTTGTTCAGTTCTTTATTTGTAAACAGTGGTTTGTTTTCCATTCCTTCTTCCACACTGATTGTGAAGTCTCTTCTTTCCTTCCCACCTCCCTCTGCTCTCCCCAGCCCCAAATTCCTTTCCCAGGCTGAGGCTGGATCCTGGTGATACCCAACCACTGATGGTGAGATCAGGTGTTTAGGACCTGAGTCTTGCTGCTCCTCGCCCACAGCAGGCCATGCATTTCACTGGGCATGGGCAGTGCCTGTGACCTGGCAGCTTGGCATGGGATGCTGCCCATGCTCTGACAAGTGAATCCAAGCCAAGACCAAGAGCCAGAGCAGAACTGCAGGAAATGGGGACTGGGTTGGGAGCTGCCATTTCCATCTCCAAGGCTGGGGATTAGGTCAGTGAAGGACTGTCAGACATTCCTGGAGGTGTCCTGGCACTGGGGTGGGCTCGGTGCAGTTGGTTCCCCTGGCAGTGCTGTGGAGCAGCTGTGTGCATCAAGCAGGCAGCTGAGCTGAGTTAGCTGTGGCAGGGACACCCCTGGGACCATGGGGATGCTCAGGTGGCCATGCCAGCTCTCCAGTGAGCAGATGCCATCTCTGCAGTCTGGGTGGGAAGATGTTCATGCTCTGGTCTCAGGGCCCATGTGCTGGACTGGGGGACAAAGGGGAAAGCATCCTCTGACAGAGTTTTGGGACCATCTCTGGGCACTCAAGGCTGCCCTTGCAGGGAGAAGAGGAGGGAGGAGAACACTTTCTGCACTTCCTTGGGTATTTACCATCAACTCCAGGCTGCAGCTGAAGCCTGACCATTACAGAATAGGCAAAACCTTCTTGTTATACTTCAGAGTTGGACTCTTTCTCCATTGGGTGGTGAGTTCCCCTGTGGGAAGGTTCCTGTGCATGCAGGTGAAATCTGAGATTCAGTAAGGGCAGGCCAGTGAGGTCTGGGGCTGCAGCTGCCCCCAGGCTGGGTGAGCACCCAGCTCTCCCCAGCATCTCCTGGCAGCCACCCCTGGCACTCAGTGGATGTGAAGATGCTGCTCTCACAGCGTGCCTGGGATGCTCAGTGGGGAGAGCAGGAGCACAGGTGGCAGCTGGACCGTGGGCTTGTTTCTGAGTGCCTCCAAGCGTGGATGTGAGGGACTTCATGGTCAGGGAGACTCCTGGGCACCTCCCAGCCTGTGCTCACGACTCCAGCAGAGTTCCCAGGGCTGTCAGGAGTCACAGCCAAGGTTGCTGAAGTTTGTGTGGCTTGCAGTGCCTTTAACACTGCTCTCCATGTGTTTCTAAGATGATACTCCATGTATGTGTGTATATATATTGTAATAACACATCCCGCTCTTCTGTGTGAGTGTCAAATGGTTTTGCTTTACTAATAAATTTATAGTTATTTATACCTTCCTGTGGGTGTGTAAGGTTTCTGGAGAGGAGGCCATGTGCCAAGCACTGCCTCCTCATCTGTCTCGCTCTGCTTGGGGGTTTCTTTTCATGTTTTCTTTCTTTTCCCCTGAACTTTTTGAAGTAGAATTGATGGTCCATCTTCGTGGTAACCAGAAGATGCAGGGTATGAGCAGGGTATGAGCAGGCTCCCAGGGGCTGAAAACAAACACAAGCACATTATGCTGAGTGGTTTTGCCCCATGCTAGAATTGGAATAATCCCTTCCCAGGGCAAAACTCCTCCCTGGGAGCTTCAGGGCAGGAGCAGGCAGGAGTCTCATCCTGCCAGAAGGGAGCAGCTGTTCAGGGGGCAGAAGCTGCTGCATGTTGTGCTCTGGGATCCCAGCCCCACATCCAACTGTTCAAGCTTCTCCTGAGAGTTTGTTTTGCATCCCCCGTCCTGTGATAGCAGGAGAGGAGCCTGCTACAGAGCTCTGGGGCCAGGCACGATGGGTACTTGTTGCCCACCAGGATGGAGACACCATGGAGCCAGGGAAGGAGGAAGCAGTCAGGGAGCTCTGGGCATGCAGAAACAGGCTGGACATGGGCCACAGAAGCCGTGCTGGATTCCAGGGTGTCATTGTGGCCAAGATTAGGGGCAGTGGGAAAGGCTGGCAGTCGTGCAGGGCTGGAGGTAAACGGATCAAGCACAATTGGCAGGCTCAGCAAGGGGAGGCTTAGCCCAGCCCAGCGCAGATTTGCTGTGGTTGCTCAGGAGCTGGGGCAGAGCTGTGGGTGGAGCACCCTGGGCACATCACCTTGTGTCACCCCACGGGGCTTCAGCAGCTCCAGTGCTGCTCCTCTGCACATCCCTGCACCCCTGCCCATGGGTGAGACGCCTGACTTCCCTACATCGCTGCTGGTGAGTGCCTGGGGTACCTTTGGGATTTTGAGGCTGCTCAAACCTGTTTGATTTTAGGGGGTTTTTTTGCAGCACCCTGCACCAAAGGCAAGCAGGCTGCTGGAAGCCACTCAGGACAGCTGAGTAATCCCATTTGCAGGCAGCACGGGGCTAATCCCCCAGAGCCCTGAGCCGATCGGGGTGGCTGGGGGAGCAGTGGCGAGCTGCAGTGGCCGAGGGAGCTCCCTCCGTGCCAGGGAGGCTGCCCAGGGAGGCAGTGCTGAGCCCGCGGGGGTAAGTGCCAGCCAGGGAGGCGAGGGAGGCTCTGCAGGGCCACCTCTGCCATCACAGGGGGTTTGGGGATCTGGAATAGCTGTGCTGGTCCATGGGGAGTGATGCTGCGAGGGCTGGGTGGTGTGGATGGAGGTTTGATCAGCTGCTGGGGGGGAGGAAAGGCCACGGTGCGCCCTGCTCCAAATGGGGATGTGGGTCTGTGCCCTTCTTGCTCCTAGAAATGAGACCAAGGCCCTTTGCTGGCTGGCCAAAGGAGCTGCCACAACAGGTGGTGGCACCGCTGGGTGCCTGCCGTGCAGCAGGTGCGTGAGGCTGCCAACTCTTTCGTGTCCCTGAAGGCAAATCCTGGCTCCTTATTCCTGTTTCTTTTAGCAGCTAGTTTTGTGGGGACCCACAAATGTTTCTGCCCATTTCTTGTTCAGATCTGGCAGAGGAACAGCCTCTGCCCTCCACTTTCTTTCCCAGACCAGGGACGGGGATATGGTCCAGGCTTTTACAGCTGCACAAGCTCAGGGTGAGGGAGGAGGAGCCCTTGGCTGACAAGGGGGGCTCGCTGCAGCCTCAGGGGGCTTTCTCCAGGATTGTTGGGGCTCAGTTGTGTACATGGACCCTGGGCTTCTTTGGGACCTGTGAGAGTGGCAAAGCATGGGTGTAAATGCCTCTGCTGCAGGCACTGGCAGCTTTTCCTTGCTGTTCCCAGGGTGTTCACAGCTCCTTAATCCGTTGTACCCAGTGAGAGACACAAGGTAATTAAATTAATTTCTGGCTGTCAGGCCTCAGGAGGTGTTTTACAGCCACTCTGTCCAGCTGTGGGGTCTGGGGGTCTGGGAGAGTGCATGGAGGTGCAGGCGAGCAAAGGGCTGAGGGCACACATCACCCTCCCTGCAAACCCCAGCCTAGATTTAAGGAGCCAGGCATTGGAGAGCCCCCAGTGAGCCATCTCAAGGGAACTGAGGATATCCTGCATGCCTGAAAGCTGCATGAGGGGTTAATTCAAAGAGCCCAGTGCTGAGCAGCTCCCAGCCTCTACCTACTGCATGTGGGACTGGGATTGAAACCCCTGTGCAGTTTCCTGGCCAGGCTGGAAGGAGCTCAGGGCTCTGCTTCCTTTTGCCCTTCACAGGTGTCACCTGGGGCTGTCTGAGGTGCTCTGAGCCCTTCATTTTGGGCAGAGTGGGGTATCTCTAGAGGGGCATTTTGGGCAGAGCACAGCCCTTCAGAGGGGCAACAGCAAGTAACAGCAAATGTGCAGCATCACTTGGCTCACTGGTGTTGTATCCCAGCCTGGAGCTGCTTCACAAAGGGAAGGAAGGGACCCAAAAACACCAAGCAGCCAGAGCTTGGACAGCTCTGCACATTCTCACTTTTCCCTGCCCTATCACCATCACTATCACATGCTGGATGCCTTTGCTGTCCTGCCAGAGCCCCCAGCAGGTACCTGCCCCAGCAGCCACCATGGCCCTGGGGTGGGGCTGAAAGGTGGTGGAGCAGGGTTGTTTTGTAGGGGCAGAAAGAGGGGATTTGTGTGTTGTGACATGAACTTCCTCATAAAAAAATTCTGTTCAAATTACTGTTCAGCTTCCCTCAAATGAAAAATGATGGGGAGAGTAGGGCAGAGCATCACAGCTTTTGTGATCCATCTGCAATGGCTTCCTGGTGAGGACAGGTGTGAAAATAAAACATCTAACAGAGGAGATACCTTCAGGAAAAGCAAGTCTAACTGAGATGGTGAGAATAAAGCAGAGTGTTTATTTTGCTCACAACAGCAGTGAGGGATGAGGGTTGAGTAGGATTTGCTCTGGCTGTGCTACAGTGCTGTGTTTCCCAAGCAGGACGTGGACACAGAAGGACACCAAGGACCTTCTTGGGCTGCCCAGGAGCCAGCCCAGTGAGCAGCTGGTGTTTCCTGGGCACCCTGCACCCCGTGCTGGGCTCCTGCCAGCTGGAGAGCCCGGGCAGTGCCCGCAGCCAGCGGGATGATGGGCTGGATTGACCGGGTGGTGCCCCAGCCCCCGGTGCCCCACGTGGCAGAGGAGAGCCCTGTGCAGCCAGCCAAGGTGAGCAGGGAGCCAGCCTGGGGGGTGATGGGGACACCAGGAGCATGGTGAGAGGTGCCTGGTGCCTCTGCAGCCATCCCCAGCACTGCAGCATCCCCAGCAGGGAAGGGGGCCGGGATGCATTCCTGCTCTGAGCTGCTGGGAGCAGCAGGAGCACGGGGAGTCCCTGGGGTTTGCAGCCACCTTTGAACAGGGACAGTGTCCCCTGTGCCTCATTCTCTGACTCCTCCCGCCTTTTGTCCTGAAGGCACCGACAGCAAAGGCTGCTGGCCCCACAGATGCTGCTGAGCGGGCGCGCACGGAGGGTAAGCCCCACATGGCTCAGGCTGCACATCAGTGCTCCTTCACCCTCCTGTCCACTCCTGCCTGGCCTCCTGGGGCTGCCAGAGTGCTGACAGGAGCTTGTCTTATTTTCCCCTGCTGCTATTGAAGAAACAGAAAAGAAAGTGACCTTTGTGGCTTCTGAGGACTCGAGTTCTGTGTTTGACAGGTACGGCTCCTGCGCCCTTTGTGCAACATGATTTGCTTGGGATTTTGCTTTTTGTTGGGGTGCTGGATGCCTTGGATGGCATTCCCAGCTTGACTCACCTGTTTCCCTGGCAGTGTGGGGAGCAGTGTGCTCTCCTGGCTCTCCCATGGGCTGGAGAAGGTGATTCCCCAGCCAGCCCCAGCCCCAGGGCTGCAGGCACTCGGGAAGAGCTTCGAGACAAGCATCGACGTTGCTGATGAGGTAGGAGACAGATCTGGAATATGATTTTGTATGTTTGAGCTTCTGCCTCTTTTTACCTTTTCTTTTTCCCTTCTTATCACTCTCCTCGTGCTAACTGTGAGCATGAAACCTGCCCTGCATGGGTTTCTACCTTCATGCATCCCTGGGAAAGGGCAGGTTTCCCTCCCCACCCAGCCTCTCTTGGGCTGTCAGGTTTTCAGACAATATGTTTGGCTTTTCAGACAGAGGTCCAGGTCATTGGGGATGAGGACGACGATGGCCTGGGTAAGGAGAGCTGCGAGTTTGTAGTGTGCAGCATCCTGGGACTCCCCATCCCACTCCCCGGCTGGTGACACCGGCACTATTGTCCCCTTGTTGCTGGCTGATGGGGACACCTGGAGCTGCCAGCAGTGCAATTCCCCATGCCCACAGCAGCACTCTCCTTGCAGAGATAACTCCCTTCGATGCCGAGGAGGACGCGTCCGAGGGGGAGCTGGAGAGCGCCCCGGAGCAGTGGTGGGTGCCCGGCCGGGATGGGGGATGCGGGAGGGCAGGAGGGAGCAGGATGAGCTGGGGGATGCGGGAGGGCAGGAGGGAGCAGGATGAGCTCCCCGGAGCAGGATAAGCTCCCCGGAGCAGTGGTGGGTGCCCGGCCAGGGTGGGGGATGCTGGAGAGCAGGAGGGAGCAAGATGAGCTCCCCAAGCGCGGCGCTCTCCCCGCAGGGCAGGACAGCGGGTGCTCAGCTGGCTCTCACAGGGCTTCGAGAGGATTTTGCCGCAGCCAGAGGGGATGAAAAAGCCGGAGGTGAGCGCTGCCGAGCTCGGGAGGAGCGGGGGCTACCGGGCAGAGAGGAGAATGGGGCGAGCTCCCTGCCTTCATCCTCTGCACACCCCAGCTGGGACCTTGGGGAGGAAAACCCAGGGGAATTCCGGAGAGCAAAAAGAGACGTCTGGGTGCTGTCCCGGTGTTCCTCCATCCTGATGCAGGGAGGACCCTTCCTTTGGGACTGGGGTCAGCAGCGCTGCTGTCTGGGTTAACTGCTTGTTGTCAGGGCAGTGGGACTGAAATCAGAGCAGTGATGTGTGGGGCTGAGCATGAGGGGCTGAGCATGTGGGGATGAGCATGTGGGGATGAGCATGAGGGGCTGAGAACGTGGGGCTGAGCATGTGGGGGTGAGCATGAAGGGCTGAGCATGAGGGTCCTATTGCGCTGGGGACATGTCCACCTGGGCTGGCCTGAGGCCGCGGGCAGTGCTTTGCCACGTCCATCCGTCCCTCTGTCCCTCTGCAGACAGAGCCGAAGGAGAAGAGTGAAGGCGCGGTGGAAGGTGAGCGATCTGATCTGCTGGGCCTGGCCGGGGTGGGCTGCCCTCGTCTCCATGGCCGGGATTCCCTCTGTGCCAAGAGGAGTGAAGGAGGGGTGGGGACACGGGTCCCAGGGGTGGGGACACAGGTCCTGCCATCTCTGCACAGCCCTCCACAGCCTGTGTCCCCATGTCCCCATGTCCTCACCCAGGCAGGCTGCCAGGGGAGCCCCTGAGGCCTGTCCCTCTGTGGGACAGGGCAGCCCTTCTTGGCTTGCTCCACTTCTCAACGATTTGTGACAGCTCCATTGCCAATCCTCCTTCTTTCCAATAAAATCGAGCAGGCACAGAAGGGACTAAAACCCAGGCGAAGTCGAAACCCAGCGTTCTGAGTGCCCCGGCGGCAGCGAAGGCAGAGGCAGCCCAGGCCCAGCCGGAGCCGGGGGCTGCCCTGACCCCTCAGCCCAGGGCTATGGATGGCACCAGGTAATCACCATGGCACCTTCTGCCAGGCTCTGGGGCCACAGGGATGGCTGATGCAGGAGAAAGGCTCTGGCTGCCTGTTTTAGCAGGGGTTTCTTGTCTGCAGGATGTTCAGCTGGTTTGTCCAGGGGCTGGAGAAGGTGATGCCACAGCCGGTGACCAGGGAGAAGCAGGACACACAGGTAGGCTGACTGAGGGACAGGGAAAGAGCACAGGAACGCCACATCCCTGAGGAGCAGGGTGTCCTTTGCCCTGCAGATGCCACTACATCAGTGCTGGGACCTGCTGTGCTTTGGGCTGTCACCCAGTTCTGTCAAGAGAACAAGTCCCCATGACCTGCTTAGCTGATATAGGCCAGTGTTTGGCTTCTGTGCAGCAGGAGATCCTGTAGCATGTGCTTTCTTTACTGTTCCCTTGCCTTTCTGTGCAGCCCTGGCTGGTGTCCAGGCTCTGGCATCTCATGCAGGTGTGGTCCCAGCTCTAAGGAATAGCAGCAGCAGCTTTACAGAGCTCTCCTTCCCTTCTCTCGCCCCCAGGCAAACTCATTTATGTGCTCCTGAGCAGGATGCTCGTGCCCATGGCCAAACCATCCAGCTTGCCACAAAAATGGGGTATTTAGAGTGAAAGGGCTACCTGTACTGAAAATGGGGCATTGAGGGTAAAAATTAAGGGTTACTGAAAATGAACAGTGTCTCATGGTTCCCTTCTCCTCTTGACAGGGAGTGGCCACCGCAACCTCGAGTCCTGTGGAACAAAGTAAGTGATGGCTCCATTTCTCCATGATGGTTTGACTGCCAAGCTCGTTATTGGCTTGGGTTCCTGGGAAGAGGGGTCACTGGCATCTTTATCCCCTGGTCTGCTCTGGGTGCCACCTCAGGAGCCCCTGGAACCCCCCAGGGAAGCCAAGGGAGGTTGTTGACACTGGAGAAGAGGGAGGTGTTGCTGAGCTGTGTTGTGGGCTTGGTAAAACTCAGGCTGAGGGAGGCTCCTGGTGCAGCATCCCACACCCTCAGGTCCTGGGATTTAGTGCTGAAATCAAGGTCTGTCCTGAGCTGTGCTGAAGCTGGAGGGATTTGATCAAAGAATTACAAGGGAATTCAAAACTTCTGCTTTCTTTCTTTCTTTTGGTGTTTGCCAAGCCTGGTGTGAGATGTCTAGGAAGGTACCCCAGGAAAACAAAATGCTGAGATTAGATGTTTTAAAATGGAATCTGCATGGTTGTGGGAAAACCTGCAGGGTTCACACTGCTGTGTGCCCATGGAGGGCACCAAGCACCAGCTCTGCAGGCAGGGGGGGCTTGGCTCCCCACTGCAGCCACTTTAGGGATGCTGGACAAAATGCAGAGCCACAGCTACCCCTGTGGATGGTCTGGGCAGGGTTACACACCCCTGTGCAAGTGCTGTCCCTTGAAAGGAGTGGCTGGTTGGGCTGTGGGAGCTGCAGATGGCAGCAGGGACAGATGAGGCACATGGAAAATGCACACCCCTATGGATATGCTGGGAACTTGCTCCTGGAGGCCAACAGCCCCTTGGCAGAACCTGAGAGAGGGAAATCCTGTGGGAAGGCATTTCTCCATGTGTTTGTGCAAACTGGAGCCCTGTGTGCTGCCATGGATCTCGGGAAGAGGCAGAGCCAGGGATGCTGCTGGGTTAACACAGCCCTGGGTCCCCAGCTGGCTTTGGTGCCTTCAGGCATCTCCAGGTCCCTTAACCTGCCCAAGGAAGGGTCAGGCAGGAGATCTGCCCTGGCACCAGCCTGCCAGCACGCTCATTAATGTTTTCCTTCTCCTTTTGTTTCAGGGGGCAAAGGGGCTTAGCGCCTCTGAAACAAACGGAAAACGAAGACCGTGGCAAACCAGCCCTTCCCACACCCCAAAGAGACCAGCCTGAGGAGAAAGCACAGCTGGGGAGGAAAAGCAAAGGGGAATCTGCAAAAGGTGTCCAGCTCCTTCCCAGCTGGGGCAGTGGGGACCCAAGGCTGGCACAGGGACCCAGCCCCAGGGCTGTCCCACTTGGCTCCCTCTCTGCTCTGGGAATTGGAGCTGCTGCTTTTGCAGGAAGGTGTCTGTGAGATGGGAGCTATAATTTACAGGATGGTAGAAAAGCATCACTCAGGGCACCTCAGAGGCAGAAAGCCTCTTGCTGCAATGTCCCAGCACTCCTGGCCCTCTCAATGCCCCCACAATATCTGAATATTCACCCCAAGACCCCCAGCTGAAATCTCCAGGCTTCTTTGAGTCAACTTCTGCCTCTGAGGTGTAATGTTATAAACCTCTTGAAGCTCTTGTCAGCTCCTTGTTGCTTTTCTTCCATAACTGAGTGTTTCCTCCCAGCAAGTGGAAAGGGCTCTGATTTGCAGCAGCAAATCAGGAGGGTGAGGTTAATCTCTAGGTGAATAGGTTGGAGTTAATGGTTAAACATATTTGCCCAGGCTCTTCTTCTGAGAGAACTTACCCCAAACTCTCCTTACCCCCAGCTATGGCTGCTCCCTCCTGAAGCTGAGAGCTTCAGCACTACCTGCAGCAGCAGGAATGTCCCAGCAGGGAGGGGGTTCCAGGGGCTGTCTCCAGCCCGGAGGTTGCAGGCAGGCATGGGGAGTGGGAGCCCCTACACCCCAGGTTTTGGATACAGACCTTGGAGCAGCAGACTGGTTTGGGTTGTGAGTGACCTTTGAGGATGATCTGGTCCAACTGTCCATTAGACACGGTTGCTACAGGCTCTGCCCAACCTGGCCTTGAACACTTCCAGGATGGGGCAGCCACAGCACACTATTCTTTCCTTATATCCAATATGGATGTCCCTCTTTCAGTTTAAAACTGCTGCCCCTTATCTTTGCAGACCCTGGTACAAAGCCTTTTTCCATATTTTGAATAAGCCCCCTGATGTATTGACAGGCCAGGTTGAGATCTCCCACTGTTGCATCTCTTTAGGATCATCCAGGCAACTCTAACAATGAGTTGTGAGCCAAGAGACCCCTTGAGATCTACCTCCTGTGTTTAAAATGAATCTTGCTTGTACCAGGACACAGTTTTAGTATTTACCACATTTTCATATAATGTATCCAAAAGCCATGGTGTGCTTTAGAAGCCATTTCCCTGATTGCTGCCCCATGTTTTAATTAATGGAGATCCAGAGGGAATGGGCTGAAGGCATTGTGGACACCATGGGGTGGGTAAACAAGCCACAGATATGACACTGCCTGGGTTTCCTGCCTTTCTGTAGTTCAGTTTGCACGTTTCCTATTAGCTTTGCTGTGGATATGTAAGTTTTGCTGTCAGGCAGACCTCAAAATAAACTGGTTTTCCAGCGAGCGGATGTGCTTCCTCCTCCTGTTTCTCTGGTGTGAGCCTGACCTGGCAGGATGGGTACCCCTGGGACAGGGAGAGGGCTCCTCATGGCTCAGACTCCTCACTCTGCAGCTGCTTACAGCCCCCAGTAACCTGCTGGGGGTTTTGCCCCAGAGCTGCTGGGAAGTGCTGTGGGATGTTCCTTGCCTGGGAGGGTGCTCAGAACAGGCAGGACATGGTGCTCGAGTGCTGTGGTGTGGGCTCTGGGTTGGGTCTTGCAGACACAGGGCCCCCATTGGGCTGTGCTGGGACAGAAATTCACAAGGGGGAAAGGCTTTGGGCTCTTCCAGATTGCAAGGAGGGACAAAACACAGCCTGGAGATGGGCCAGGGCACTGCTGGTGCAGGAGGCTGCATGTGCAGGGCAGCCAGCACTCATCTGTGTGCAGAGGATTGTGGCTTTCACAGAATCACAGCATGCTTTGGGTTGGCAGGGCCCTTAAAGCTGAACCGCCCCCCTTTCTGTGGGCAGGGACATTTCCCACTAGACCAGGTTGCTCAAGACTTTTGTGGGTTTTTGGCTGTGCTTGGCAGAAAATGGGGAATTTTCTTCTTCCTTCTGCAAAAGGGCCCAAGGCACCTGTGCAGCCCAGCTCAGGGGTGAGGCTGTTGAATCAGGGACAGAAAGAGAGACTTCAGTCTTCAGGTGGATCAGAAGGCCCCTTTAATGAAAGCTGTGGGTCTTTTATAATGTGACTCACTAAGGTGATCCTTGATTGGTCTAAAAGCAGAAACATCTCACACTGTTGGTGTACTATGAACAGCGCTCTGTGGAGAACCGTAACTATAAACAGTGGTTACAGAAAGAGAGATAATAATTGTTTTCATTCTTTTCCTCTACAATTCCCAGAACAGAAATTGTCTCTGTTCTTTCTTGGACTGAACTGAGAATCTCCACACAGGGGCAGCAGAGCTGCCCAGCTCTGGGCAGGCTGAGAGCTGCTCCAGCACTGCCCCACTGAGCAAACCTGGAGGACCAAGAAGGTCTTCCAAGGAAGGTCTTCCTGGAAACCAAGAAGGAGCAAACCTGGGTTCTGCCCTGGCCTCTGGAGAGCCTGCTGCTGTCCCTGTCCCTTCATCACCTCCCTCTCCCCATTCCTGTTTCAGTTCATGCAGCCCCTGGGCAGCAGGAGGAAACCCATCTCGTCCTGGAAGAGATGGAGGATGGCCAGATGAAGGAAGAGATGACAGGCTGGGCTCACCAGGCTGAGCTGCAGGCAGATGCTCATTCCCTTCCCACCATACAGGAGGAGCCTCAGGAAGAAGAGACCAGGTAGGAGAAGGGAGATGCTGTTGAAGGACCAGGTGGTGGCCATGGGAGGGGACAGGCCTGTCCCTGGGCATCCATCCTTGCAAGGGCTGGTGCTGGAGCTGGCAGTCAAGGTGTGTTTCCAAAAAAGGGGACATCTCCCAGCAGGATCCAAAAGGTGCTTGATCAAATGTCTTTTTCTCCTGGTGTCTCAGTTTTGGTTAGTGCAGAGCCATGGGAGCAATGCTCACAGTGCCCTGCAGAGGATAGATGAGGGAGGCTCTGCTTGGGTTCCTGTGAGTAGAATTTGGCCCCAGGGTAAGAGGCTTTGGACCTTGTTCCAGCAGTGGTGCATGCAGCTGGAATGCCATTCAGAAATGGAAATTGTCCCTTTATATTTCACCCTTGCTTCTGCCATAGAAACCCTGCTGGGTCTGCCCAAGGGCTGGGCAGTGTGTTCAGAGCTGGAGGGCTTCAACTCATGAGCTTCTCCTTTCCAGAATCTGTTTGTGCTCCCCAAACACTGCCAAGGGGGATGAGGAAAAGGAGGAGGAGGAGAAGAAAGAGGAGGAGGAGGAGGAGAAAGAGAGGAAGAAAGAGGAAGAGGTAAGGAAGAAAGAAGAAGAGGAGGAGAGGAAAAAAGAAGAAGAGGAGATGAAGCAAGAGGAGGAGGAGAGGAAAGAAGAGGAGGTGAAGCAAGAGGAGGAGGACAGGAAAGAGGAGGAAGAAGAGAGGAAGAAAGAGAAAAAGGACAGGAAAAAGGAGGAAGAGGAGAAGAAGCAAGAGGAGGAGGAGTTGAAGCAAGAGGAGGAGGAGGAGGAGGAGAGGAAAAAAGAGGAAGAGAACAGGAAAAATGAGGAAGAGGAGAAAAAGCAAGAGGAGGAGGAGATGAAGCAAGAGGAGGAAGACCGGAAAAAAGAGGAAGAGGAGAGGAAGAAAGAGAAGGAGGAGAACAGGGAAAATGAAGAAGAGGAGAGGAAGATAGAGGAGGAGGGCAGGAAGAAAGAGGAAGAGGAGAGGAAGGAAGAGGAAGAAGAGAGCAAGATAGAGGAGGACAGGAAGAAAGAGGAAGAGGAGAAGAAGGAGGAGGTAAAGAAGAAAGAGGAGAAGAGGAAAAAAGAGGAGGTGAAGAAGAAAGAGGAAAAGAGGAAGAAAGAGAAGGAGAGGAAAAAAGAGAAGGACAAGAAGAAAGAGGAAAAGAAGAAAGAGGAAGATAAGAAAGAGGAGGAGCAGCAGGAGAGTGCAGAGTGAGTGACTCCTGTTGCCTTTAGGGCTTTGCTGAAAACGAGCGTGATTGCAGCTTTTGTTTCAAGTGCGTTCACCAGCTGGAGAGGCTGAAACAGCCATGGCAGGGCACAGCTCCCAGCCTGGCAGGATGGGCAGGGATGGATGTGCTGGGCAGGGATGGGTGGCATGCAGGAGGGATGGCAGGAGAGAGGGATGGCATGCAGGAAGGATGGCATGCAGGAGGGATGGAAGGCAGGAGGGATGGCATGCAGGAGGGATGGAAGGCGGAAGGGATGCAGGAGGGAGGGATGGCATGCAGGAGGGATGGAAGGCAGGAGGGATGCAGGAGGGAGGGATGGCATGCAGGAGGGATGCTTTGGCCAACCGGCTGCCCCAGGGCTCGCTGCTGACGCGGCACCTGGTGACAGGAGCGTCTCCTGTGACTCGGGCTCCGTCTCCATCGCGGCCGCCCGTGGCAACCGCAGCCCCTCCTGCGCCTTTGGAGGCGGGAGCAGCCGGCTGCGGAGATGGGCCGTGCTGTTTGAACCATGCCCATTAATTCAGGGCACTCGGGATTGTTTTGAGTGTTACAGAGCTGAATGTAAAGACAGGATTATGTGTTGATGCTGCTTCATACAAGTAGGTACAATTTTACATTTTTTCCTGTTGTAGAAAATAGCCGAGATCTTGTGGAAGGTGGTGACTTTGGTCTGGATGGGATTGGGAGACATCTTTCTGCTCAGATTAGTAGTTTGCTCTGATTTCACATGAGATAAACATTTAGGGATTTATTACCTAGCACTACAATATTATTCTGTGTTAATTCCTCTAAAGTAGCTAGATTTTCAGGAAGAAGCTGAAAACACATGATTACTCACTGTCAAGCCCATATGTTAAAATCTTTTCCTGGAGCTTCACTGTAGAAACTTGAGCTTCAGTGTGGGGTGAATGAGATGCTGCTCCATCCTTCAATGTGTTTGTTTACTGGAAGAAGAGAGACCAACAGGTTCTCTAGTTTAGGATGGAAAGATTTGTGACCACATTTGAAGGGAGCATAATTTTAAATATGAAGGGGGAAAATTATTAAAAAAAACAAAACAAATATTTTCATGCATTTAGCTGTCTTAAAATTCTCATTATCCCAAATCCCTGCTTTGCATTTCTTGCCAGGAAACAGCAAATCAAGAGGTAAATGCACAGAGCAACATTTGAGGTGCTTTTATTTCAGTTATGAAGTTATATTAAAGCAATACAATCAGTCTTGAGAGCCTCTTTGTCAGAATGGTGGAGCTGAGGCCTGTGCTTGCTCAGGAAGGAAAATGAGAATTATGTGTCCTGGTGGTGTCTTGCACAGGCAAACGTGGGATTTGAATAGTTCTTGTGGGAAAGCCTTGCCTGGAAATTAGATTTTGGCTTTTTATTTGTCCCATTTTAATTATATGAGAAATGATGCACAGGAGGAGAAACATTCTGCCTGGATCTTTCTGCCTCTGCAGTTTCTGCCCGTGCCCATGCAAAGCCCTGATTTATCCATCACCTCTTACCTGGTCTCCCAGACAGTATTTCTTCTCTCCCTTGCAGGCCCCTGCTGCAGCCTCCTTGTCCCCCTGCTGATGAGGGTGTGGATGAAGCCTGCCTTGCCCAGGAGGCCCCCAGGGCTGAGCAGCTGGAGGAAGTTGAGATAAGCAATCTGCAAGGTGCCCCTGTGCAGGTACGGCACCGCTCCCTGCTCGGCTCCCTGCACTGAGCTCTGCTCTGCCCTGGGGCTCAGAGCTTCTCTGGGGGGATGCAGTGCCCTGGCAGGGGCAGGCTGGGCTGGGCACAGGCCATGCTGCCCACCCGGGTGTCCCCATCCCTGAAGCTGGGCAGCAGAGGTGGCTGTGGGTGGAGGGAAGGCTCCTCTCACTCTCCGGAGTGGGCACTGAACAGGCTGAGTGTCTGAGAGGAGGGTCAAGCTACAAAGGCTGCTCTTTCACTGACAGAATGGGCTTTTTCTCCTTAAAATGGCTTTCTTTTTCATTTTTAAGGTGGAAGAGGAGCCAGCTGAAGCTGCTGAAACTGATGCTGAAGGTACAAGGGGTAGCAGGAGGGTGCCAGACTGGGATGGAGTGAGGCAGGGATGGGGGGAGAATCCAGCTTCTCCTCTGCTGCTGGCAGGGAGCAGGGAGCTGCCTTCTCTGCAGCCTGCAGGAGCAGTCAGGGCTGTTCACAGGGTAAAACATCCTGTGGGCACAGCACAGTGGCAATATTGGCATTGTCTGCAGCTAGCTCTGCATGCACAATGCTTAGTCCTGTTGATTCTGCAATCCCTGATGTGAAATAAGAGTTTCTCCTTCAGCCAGAGGATGTAAAGGGATAAAAAAGTATTTTCTCTACCACTTTTCTCCCTTTGGGAAATTACCTGTGGCATAAAACAGGTTTTAATATAATATTTTAGGAAGCAATGGTTGGTAATGAAAATTAGGTGGCGAGTTCCCATTGCAGCCTGACTGAGCAGAGGCACATCCTGGCAGAACTCCACAGGAATCAGGAAGTTGCTCAGGGAATGGCTTGCCCTCACCCCTGAGATTCTCTGCATGCATCCCTTGCAGAGGGGCAATGATGCTGGGAAATGCTGATTTGTCAGGAACTGTAGTGATGGGACAAGGAGTGATGGGTACAAAGTGAAAGAGGGGGAATTTAGGTTAGATTATTAGGAAGAAATTCTTCCCAGTGAGGGTGGTAAGATACTGGAATATGTTGCCCAGGGAGATTGTGGATGCCCCAACCCTGGCAGCACTCAAGGCCAGGCTGGGTAAGGGGTAACAGGAGATGTCCCTGCTCATGGGACACAACCTTTAATGTCCCTTCCACCCCTTAACCTTCCATGACTCCATGAAAAACACGAGCTGGGATGGCCACCACTGCCACCAGCCCTGTGAGCAGCAGCAGCCGCCCCAAACCCGGGTCAGCCCCACATCCCTGCAGTGTCACACCCCTCCCTTCTCACACAGCCAGCCCCACACCCCTCCCTTCTCACAGCACTCTGTTCTGTTGCAGCTGCAGATGCCTTGTCCCTTGCTTGAAGCTCCCAGCAGCTGCTAGCAGCATGGCCAGGCGGGCCCAGGACGTCGAGCTCTTCCAGCTGGTGCAGGACAAGCCCTGGGCTGGCAGGGCCCCCTCTCCTGCTGGCCACGGGGCTCTAGAGCAGCTGCCCAATGTCCCCAGTGTCCCCAGCTGCCGAGCCCCTGCTGCCACCCCTGTCCTTGTCGCCAGCAAGCCAAAGGCTGGACTTGTCAACCCCAATTTTTGCACTGAGGAGCAACCCCCACTAGGTATTAGAGATGTTGGCTTTGATGCCTTGTGTAGCTAGAGGGGTGCAGGGGGGTTCCTGGAGTAGTTGCTTTTTTTGTTGCTTTCTGAGGGAGGGGGGAATCATTTAAAAAAAAAATAAAAGCATGCTTCATGTTGCAGCACAGAGGCTGGGGAACAAAACCCACGTGTTTGTCTGCTTCTGCCTCATCACCATGTGCCTTTTTAGCCAAGCCTTGAGTGTGTCTGCAAATGCTGCGTGTTTAGAGCTGCTCAGAAAGGCTCTCCTGAAGGAGCTGCAGGCAGAGGGTGCAATTTCACCACACACAGTTTTCTCTCCAGCATTTGTGCAGCCTGCTCGTGCTAACAGGAGAGGAAGGTGCAGGTTTGCTGCTCATGGCTTTCTGCCTTTTCTGCAGCTTTGCTTTGCTTTGTTTTTCACCAGCAAGCCGAATTCTGCTGCTTTTCCTTACATGCAACAGGATTTTAACTTTGCCACCCAAACAGGCATTTTCTCAGGCTTTTAATCCAGCCACACTCTGATCCCCTAGCCTCACATCAGAGTGAAGCAGGAGAAGGTGCGTGGGGTCTCTCAGATGTGTGAAAAGAAGAAATCCCGCAGGAATTAATTTTATTTTGTTGAATAGCTAAGGAAGACATTGCACTTCACACCCAAGTGACTGTGGGGTGAGCCCAGGGTAGCCCCCAGTGCCATTTCTCCTTTGGACAACTGGCATCTTTCTTTACCCACCACAAACATCAAACCTTCCTGCTTCTGACCTTGCCTGTGGCAGGGAGCAGTTATTACCTCTGCAGAAGAAAGAAGCCATAAATGCTTATTGAAATAGTGCCTTATTCTGCATGAAAAGCCAACACTGTGTGGTTCAGGGCTGCCACAATCCATGTGTTTACATTCAGAAGAACCAGAAGAATCTCTACACCCCGGGAGGCAGGTTTGCTCCTGGAAATCCTGGGTTCCTGCATGGCACCTGCAGCTGGGAATCCTAATTTCCATGGTTTTCCAAACCACAGGAGCCCAATACTCAGATGGAGTAGCTGCAATCACTGCAAGCTGGGCAAGCAGAAGGGCAGCAGATGGCAGCTCTTAGACTGTTAAAACTGGGCAAAAAAAAAAAAAAAAAAAAAAAGAAAAGAAAAAGAAAAAGATAAAGAAGTGCTCCAAATGCTTAGGAGAAAGGAGAGCCAGGCAAGAAGGGAAGGGAAGGGAAGGGAGGGAGGAGGAGAGTCCTTCCCACACTCTGCAGGGCCTGGGGGCAGCTCTGGGGAGCCGTCCTGGCTGCAGGGGGGCCCTGTGCCCCCTCACCTGCCATTGTTGTCCTTCCCCACGGAGCAGGTCACCCCCCCACCGTGGAGATCAAGGATGTGGACAGCCCAGAGCGTGCTGTGGAGATCCACGGCACCTATGGAGAGCTGCCTGCGGCCGGCGCCCCCAACCTGCTGGCCGTGCCCGGCGCTGCATCCCCCAGGTACAGCAAACCCCAGGCACAGCATCCCCCAGGTGCTGCATACCCCAGGTACAGCAAACCCCAGGTACAGCAAACCCCAGGCACAGCAGCCCCCAGGTACAGCAAACCCCAGGCACAGCATCCCTCAGGTACAGCATCCCCCAGGTACAGCAAACCCCAGGCACAGCAAACCCCAGGTACAGCAGCCCCCAGGCACAGCATCCCCCAGGCACAGCAAACCCCAGGTACAGCAGCCCCCAGGTACAGCAAACCCCAGGTACAGCAAACCCCAGGCACAGCATCCCTCAGGTGCTGCATACCCCAGGTGCTGCATCCCCCAGGTACAGCAAACCCCAGGCACAGCAGCCCCCAGGTACAGCAAACCCCAGGCACAGCATCCCCCAGGTACAGCATCCCCCAGGTACAGCATCCCCCAGGTACAGCAAACCCCAGGCACAGCAGCCCCCAGGTACAGCATCCCCCAGGTACAGCAAACCCCAGGCACAGCAAACCCCAGGTACAGCAGCCCCCAGGTACAGCATCCCCCAGGTACAGCAAACCCCAGGCACAGCATCCCCCAGGTACAGCAAACCCCAGGCACAGCAAACCCCAGGCACAGCAAACCCCAGGTACAGCAAACCCCAGGCACTGCATCCCCCAGGTACGGCTCTGCCCAGTGGTCCCGGCTCCCCTGCGGCTGTCAGCACGAGAACATTTATTATCCACGTTTATCCACGTGGAGATGCTCATTCCCAGCAGATTTGGACAGTGCTGTGTGTGCAGTGGGTGTCACCCCAGTGCACAGCAGAGGAGATGGCCAAAGCTTTGCCTCTTGTTTGCATTTTTAAATTAAATTTTGTTTAATGCTTTTATGGTCAGGGACAGCCCTGTCTGTGTGTTCTCCTGGAGATGGGCTGGATCCCCAAGCCATTGGCAAATCCCATTTGTCTCTGTTCCCAAATTCAGAGCACAGAGGTTCCATGTGCTGTATATGAGCCTGCATCTTAAAAATAATCATTTTCTTCCTGTATTTTTGCTACAAAGGTTTGAAGCACGTTACCCCTGGGTTTGAACTTTCAGAGGAGTGGTGGAAGCCCCATCCTGCAAAGTGTTCAGGGCCAGGTTGGATGGGGCTTGGAGCTACCTGGCCTAGCTGGAAGGTGTCCCTTCCTGAACTAAATGGTCTTTTAAGGTCCCTTCCAACCCTGATCATTCAGATTCTATGCTTAGAGAGAGGGAGGATTAAAACTGAGCTTTAAAATTTAGGCTGGAGAAAGCTGAGGGATTTTTTTCTGTGGTGGCACTAGGTTTGTTTGAGGCTCACCCTTGCAGAGGATTCAAAATGAAAGCTAAAGTGGGATTATTTTCTGTGCTGTAAACCAGGTGCTGTAGTCATTCTCACTTAATAGTTTGGATCTTTTAGTTTTTGCTCCTGAAGGAGCAAAAAAAAAAAGGCAAAAATGTCCACAATCCAGTCTGTTGAACAGCTAAAAAATGGCAAAAATGTCAACAATCCTGTTGAACAGCTAAAAAAAATGGCAAAAATGTCAACAATCTGGTCTGTTGGTCTGTTGAACAGCTATTTATACTGGGACAGCAGAGCCCAAGGCTTCATGTAAAATACCTGCAGTGAAAACACAGGCAGCATTAAACACATTTACAGTTACACATGTGAGCACATAAACCCTTCTGCTGGGTCCCAGGGAGTGCCTCAAAACAACACTGGATATTTTTAAAAGCAAGGAACTCCTGTTCTCCTACATAAAGAAATAAAAATTAATTATTGTGAGCCAGAAGGAAAATGCTCATGTTTCCAGAAGGAGAAGACATAATTCTGCATTGAGCAGTTATCTCTAAATTCCTTCTACTGCCACAGCCTGGAGTTATAACATGGCTCTGGCAGGGCCCATTTCTTGGGAAATGAAGGCTCATCATTCTTGTTCACCTGCTCCACCTCCCAGCAGGACACACCTGGGAGCAGAGAGGCTGGAGGTGGTGGGTTCACAGCATTTGAATCCCATTTGACTCCCATTCCTTTGGGAGATTGGTGCTGGCAGGATGCTCCCTCAGCATCCTCCTCCTCCTGCTCCACACACAGCACTGAGACATTCTGTGCCCTGGCCAGTGGGATCTGCACTTGTGGTGGCAGGAGACAATTTCCTCATCACAGCTGGAGCTCTGGGCTTGCAAACCAGTCTAGATTTTTGCTGGGACTGCTACCTTCATATTCAGCTTCCCTTCTGACACCTTTTGTGCCCACACGTAAGGAAGTCACCTGAGAAACCCATCTGTGCCAAAGGGAGCCCCAGCTGAGTTAGGACACAAAGCTCTGGGTGCTCTGGTGCACTTTCCTTGCCCCTTGAAGTGCAGTGATGTGGAGCTGTGGCACTGGGGGCCAGCACAGGATGATGCCTGCCCTCTGTGCATCTTGCCAGGTACCCAAACTGAGTTGCAAATGGGCCAGGTGGCTACAAGAGCTGGTTGGTGCTCAGGGGGAGCAGGGCTCCAGCAGGAAAGGAGCAGGAGGCTCACTCCCACATACTCCAGACAATGTCACAAAAATCAGGGGAAACTGACCCTAGCAGGAGAAGGGGGAATGGAAAACAGGTCACACCTGGGAGGAGGAGGAGGAGGAAGGAGAGGAGCCAAGCCAAGCCTTGGTGTCTGTGTTTGTGTCTGCAGGAGGAAGAGACTGCTCCCAGAAGATGCTCTGGACAGGGGGCTGGTGAGCCAATCCCCCAGCCAAGGGCTGGGCTGGGACCAGGAGCACAGGGAAAGGTGAGAAATGGGCCAGGGGCTCCAGATCAGCCTGGGGTTCACATCCTGGGGTTCACATCCTGGGGCTTGGGTGGAAATGGCAAACACCCCAAATATCCTTTGGGATACCAAAGGGAGAGAGAGCCATGCCAGTTTGTGTTCTTCTCAGTACACAATACCCCAATAAACACAGGTAAATCCTAATTCAGATGCAGTAGGTTAAAGAATGGGAATAATGACTGGGTCATGGGGCTGGGAGCAACCTGGTCTAGTGAAGGTGTCCCTGCCCATGGCAGAGAGGCTGGAATGAGATGAGCCTTAAGGTCCCTTCTAGCCCAAGCCATTCCAGGTTTCTGTGATCCCATGAACCTGCCCTGGCCTTTCCTTTCCCTTCTAACCCAAACCATTCCAGGTTTCTGTGACCCCAATAACCTGCCCTGGCCTCTCCTTTCCCTTCTAACTCAAACCATTCCAGGTTTCTGTGACCCCAATAACCTGCCCTGGCCTTTCCTTTCCCTTCTAACCCAAGCCATTCCAAGTTTCTGTGACCCCAATAACCTGGCCTTTCCTACCTCCATGCAATGCCCTCTGGTGTCCCCCAGCCTGCCCGAGCGCATCGGCTCAGCCTCGAGCCTGAGCAGTGCCATCATCAACACCCGGCTGCAGGAGCTGGTGAGGCTCTTCAAAGAGAGGACTGAGAAGGTGAAGGAGAAGCTCATTGACTCTGATGTCACCTCAGATGATGAGAGCCCCGTGGCATGTGAGTCCAGGTGGGGCTGGGAGTGTTTCCCTGGTGGGTCCCCGTACACGCTGTGGTTTCTGGCTGCTGTTTTATTAACAGTTTAAAGACCTTAAGAAAAACTGCAGTAAGAAGATTTTTTGAAATAACTGTGTGGCCTCTCCCAGCTCCCAGCAAGCCAGCACCTGCAGCAGCAGCAGCGCCTGCCCCAGGAGGGGAGCTGGAGGGGGACAAACCTCTGGGGGATGACCACTACTGTGAGATGCTGTGCTGCACCTTCAAACGCCGGCCCTGGCTGGAGCGCCTCAAGAGTTACCAGTTCCCCAGCAGCATTGACCCCCTGACCAGTGAGTGATGGGGCACAGCCTGGGCTGGGGGCACCTGCTGGGACTGGGGGAGAGACGGTGATGAGAGGGGAGGAAAACTAAGCAAGAAGCAACTTAGCTTTTTCACTAAAGCTCAGACTTTTCAATTCCTCTGCAAGGCACAGGCTTTCCTCAATACTTCCAGCTGTGGAAAGGACTGGGCATTCTGCTTTCCCTGTGGTGTGGATACCCCCCCAAAAAATTAAAATCACAGAAGAAGATTCTGTGTGGCCACCCCACAGAAGCCCAGCTCTTTCCTTAGTCTCTCATATTCCTCAGTCCTTTGCCTCTGGGATCAGGCAGCCAGCCACCAGCTCAGCATGGCTGGAGAGGAAATACAAAAACAGGGAAATTGGAGTTGTGAGAGCAGAGCAAAAGCAAATATAGCTGAATACAGCAAAGTTAGAAGAAGCTTTCTGCTAAAATATGGTGTGTTCTGTGACCAGGGGTGTTCACTCTGTGCTGGAGATCAAACACTGTCACCAAGAGACTTCCTGCAGGTTTTCCTTTGTGCTGAGGGCAGGTCAGGGGATGGAAACCCCTCTGTGCAGAGGATTCCCCCAGAGCAGGGATGTGTTTCCAGCTGATGGAGGTGCTGTTCCCTGTGTGCAGATCTGATGTACGTGCTGTGGCTCTTCTTCGTGGTCATGGCCTGGAACTGGAACTGCTGGCTGATCCCCGTCCGCTGGGCCTTCCCCTACCAGACCCCAGCCAACATCCACTACTGGCTGCTGGTGGATTACCTGTGTGACCTCATTTACCTGCTGGACATCCTCATCTTCCAGACCCGGCTGCAGTTCGTGCAGGGGGGAGACATCATTGTGAGTGGCAGGGCACTGCACCCAGCACTGGCACCAGCTGGGCACTCCCACCCCATCACCCTGAGGGTGCTGCTGGACCCTGAACTGAGCCCTCTCACCATGGCCATGGCCACCAGGTGCTGCTGGACCCTGAACTGAGCCCTCTCACCATGGCCATCAGGGCTCTGTCCACTCCCAGACACCACGAGCATCTCCCCTGACACTGACTGGACAAGTCAGCAATCTTTTTGTCTGCCAAACACACCATTTTCCCTATAAAATCAGTTCCATCTCTCCATACTGTGTGGCATTCCTGTTTCTGGGCAGGGATGCCTGCAGGGTGCTGCTCCAGGGGGTGGCTCTGCCCGTGGTGAGGGGTTCATTGACTGACCCTTGTCGTGCCAACCTTGGGCACGGGTGTAACAAACCCTGGGGTTAATTTTCAGGAGCACACCAGGCAGGATGTGTTAGCAGTTGCAATCTGAACACACAGATCACTCCCTTGAGATAAGGCAAGCCTTGATTTCATTTCCATATTCAATTAAACAAACTGAAAAATCACACCTTGAGGGTGCAGCCTTCCCATGCCCATGCAGATGCTCAGACAGGCAGTTTCCCCTGCAAATGCTGATTTTGTGGTGCTGGCACTGTGATGTGCTTTTCCTGGGATGCAAAATCAACACAGGATGTCCCAAGGTAGGATGGGAAGATGGCAAACAGCCAGGAATTCTCTGCTTGCTCTTCCCCCTTTCCAGGCACAAAGGGAGCATCTTCCCTGTTGTGGTGCAGAGGAGGAAAGCCAGGCATGACCACACTGGCCCTAGCTTTCCTTTCTCTAAGCAATAATCAATATTCCTCTCTCTCTCTCCCTCCTGTTCCCCCCAGACTGACAAAAAGGCCATGAAAGAAAACTACCTGCGGTCACAGCGCTTCAAGGTTTGTCAGCATTGTCTTCATCCACTGAACCTTTCACCTGCCCTGTGGGTTCAGCCCCACCCCGGGGCCCCTGCAGCTCCCCACAGAGGTGTCTCCTGTGTGCATTTCAGATGGATGTGCTGTGCCTGCTGCCCCTGGATTTCTTCTACTTCAAAGTGGGTGTGAATCCCCTGCTGCGCTTCCCCCGGTGCCTGAAGGTGAGCCAGGGCTCACAGACCAGAGCAGCAGCTGCACAGGGCACAGAGGGCTCCTCTGCTGCCTGGGTGAGCTGTGCCTGCTCACACCCATCCATGGTGACAGGAGGATTATAAAATTGAGGGGAGTTTTGTCCCAAAGGCTTTGCAGGTCACACACTTCATTTCAATCCTAAACCACTCACGTTTGAATAGAAGGGCACTGAAGGATGGAGACAAATCTGCCTGTGGCAGTCCAGCTGCAGAGGGGCTGCAGGAGGGAAATGAGGGGCAGGGGGGTTTTATGGGGAGGGGATTCTCCCAGGGGAACCTGGAACATGCAGCTCTCCTTCTCCCCCCAGTACATGGCCTTCTTCGAGTTCAACAACCGCCTGGAGGCCATCCTGACCAAGGCTTACATCTACAGGTGAGGGCCCTGGGGGCAAGGAGGGAGCATGGAATTGCTCTTTACCACACTGGGGAGGAAGGTTCCCTTCATTCTGCACTTGTTCTGGGCCCCTGATTTCTTTCCCTGCTGTGCCTGGGCTGGCTGAATGGACTTTGGCTGATGTGGTGGGACATGAGGCTCCCAAAGCCTGCATGGGCAGGATCAGCTCTCCCCAGACCCCAGGAACAGGGGGGCTGGCAGTGAAGGAGAGCCATCAGCAGATAAAGTGCTTTTCCTGGCATTTCTGGAGCTGCAGGAGGCAGCAGCAGGGTTGGGGTACTCTGTCACCTGTGTGGTCACCACTTCAAGGCTCCCACTGATCCCATGGGGGACCTGACACCTTTCCCTGGCAGATCTCATCTCCCTTCTTGCCCTCTCCTGGGTTTCTCTGCAGGGTGATTCGCACCACTGCCTACCTGCTGTACAGCCTGCATGTGAACTCCTGCCTCTACTACTGGGCATCAGCCTACGAAGGACTGGGCTCCACCACCTGGGTCTATGATGGCGAAGGAAACAGGTACAGGCCAGGGCTGGGGGTCTCACACAGCACAGCCTGCTGGAGCTGGAGCAATAAGGGAGGTGTTGGGATGCACTGAACTCATAAAAACCCCTGAAGCAAAGGGCTGGGAGTGCCAGGAGAAGATGTGGACCAGGGAGAATGGCAAGGACAGCAGGGATGGGATGTGCAGTAATACACAGTGCTGCAAGGTGAGGCTGCAGCTGGGCAGAGGGGGAGAGCAGCTGCAGGTTGAAGGGGCTGAAGTGGGATCCTGGTGCTGGGAAGCAAAGGAATGCTCCCTGGCCACCCAGGAGACATTCAAAGCGTGAATCCTGCTCCTGTCTGTGCTGACGGTTGCCAGGCTGGGATGGAGGAGTGACCCTGTGTGTCCCTGTGCCCTGTGCCAGGACCCTCAGGCCAGCCAGGTGTGAGATGGGGACAGTGGCCAGCCCTTCCCTCACCATGGCAATACCTGTGTTAAATGTCTCCTGTGCAGTCAGTGATTGATGCCACAGGCAGAGTCCTTGGCTCACAAGCTGCATGCCCACACCTGTGTTAATGTGGAATCAAAACACCCAAGACCAGGGAATCAGGAATTCACTTGGCTTCTCTTAAATCCTATTCCAACAATTTGCTCACAAAAATGTTTTTCACCCTGATGATTTCTAAAAGTGTAAATGTGGCTGAAAACATGTTGCTGCTTTATGGCAGAGGAGCAGAAACCAGAAGTAACCAGAGCTGAGGCTCCCAGGTGGAGGATCCTGGAGGGACCATTGGTTCCCTGCTCCTGCAGCATCTCCTGAAGCACCTGCAGGGGAGTCTGAAGCCCTGCAGTTTTTCCCTTTGCCATCTATAATTACTCTCAGCAGGCTCTGGCTTGCCATGGCCAGGGTCTGTGAGCTCAGTGCTGAGGGGTGAAACAGAAATGCCTTCAGAGCTGCCTCCTCTTCTCTCCTCCTCCCAGCTACATCCGCTGTTACTACTGGGCAGTGAAAACCCTCATCACCATCGGGGGCCTGCCAGACCCCAAGACCCTGTTTGAGATCGTCTTCCAGCTGCTGAACTACTTCACAGGGGTCTTTGCCTTCTCTGTCATGATAGGGCAGGTGAGTTGGAGTCAGGGGGGATTTACAGCCTCAGATGGGGATGGGTTTGGTGGGTTTGATCCACAGGTTTGCCTCTCTGGGTTTGTTTTCCCCATGGGAACGCCTGCTCAGCATTGGTGCAAGACAAAAAGGATCTGACAGATGCTGGTAGGGTTTGGATTATGTGTTTAACATGCTGAAGGATAAGTGACAGCAACCTAAAGTTCTCCTCCACCTCTTCCTTTCAGATGAGAGACGTGGTTGGTGCTGCTACTGCAGGACAAACGTACTACCGGAGCTGCATGGACAGCACCATTAAATACATGAACTTCTACAGGATCCCCAGGGCAGTGCAGAACAGGGTGAAGACGTGGTATGAGTACACATGGCACTCCCAAGGCATGCTAGGTGAGATCCAGCCACTCCAAGGGTGAATGCTTGAATCTCATGTTTTATCTCATGTTTTATCTCATATGGTTGCTCTGCAGAGCTGAAATGTTACCGTCAAACAGCACTACAATTTGGAGGTGGAGGGTGGGTTTATTTTGCTCTTCAGCACAGGGGCTTGTTTGCCCATCTATGGAGTTTACAGACTGCCCCTGGGTCACAGCAGCACTTTGGTGATTTGCGATCACTCACAGCACACTGAGCCCAGTGTCCCAGGTGCCCTGGAGGGTGGCCAGAGGGTGTCCAGCAGCAAAGCCACCAGCTCACCCTACAGTGAGTCATCAGGCAGGAGCAGAACCTCTGTGCCCACCCTCCGGACAGGGGTCGGTGGTCTGTTTCTGGGAGCCATCAGGGCAGGGATAATGCAAAGGGTGATTTTCCATCCCACTTCAGATTTAGACCTGCAGATTGCTGGGAGGGCAGAGGCTGGGGGAGACCTTTCTGTGCGAGCTGGCTCCTGCCCTCTGCCACCACAACGTGGGCTGCTTCCCCGCTGCCACATGAAGGACACAGTCCCAAATCAAGTGCTGGAAGCAGCCACTTTTCTGCTGTGTCTCACAGATGAGTCAGAGCTGCTGGTGCAGCTGCCAGACAAGATGAGGCTGGACATCGCCATCGATGTCAACTACAACATCGTGAGCAAAGTGGCCCTTTTCCAGGTACCCTCTGCAGCCCAGCCCTGCCTGGCACGGCCTGCCATGCCAGCACACGCTGAGGCTGGCATGTTTTGGCTCTGTTTGGGCTCAGGGCTGTGACAGACAGATGATCTTTGACATGCTGAAGCGGCTCAGATCAGTGGTGTACCTGCCCAATGACTACGTGTGCAAGAAGGTAAGGGGATGCTTGGGAGTCACAGCCAGGCTGTGCAAGGCACAGGGGGAGCCAGGCCTGGCCCTTCACCCTGCTGGGCCACCTCACAGGGAATTTGGAGCAAAAACACCCCTGGTCTTGTACAAAGCAGTTCTGAACAACAGGGGAAAGCTTTTTGGGTGTGGGGTGTTCACAGGAGTCCCAGAAAGAGGGAAGAGATGAGAATCTGATCCATGTTTCAGAAGGCTTGATTTATTATTTTATTATATATATTATATTAAAACTATACTAAAAGAATAGAAGAAAGGATTTCATCAGAAGGCTAGCAAGCAAGAAGAAGAATGATAACAAAATCTTGTGTCTGACCGAGAGTCTGAGACAGCTGGGCTGTGATTGGCCATTAATTAGATACAACCAACATGGGCCAATCACAGATCCACCTGTTGCATTCCACAGCAGCAGATAACCATTGTTTACAGTTTGTTCCTGAGGCCTCAGCTTCTCAGGAGAAAAAATCCTAAGGAAAGGATTTTTCATAAAACATCATGGCTACACAGTTGTGGTCTTGGGGATGCTGAGATGAGAATGCTCAGGAGTGAGAATCATCAAGACATTTTGGGAGCTTGGAGAGGCCATGGGGATTCCCAGCAGGATGCTCCTTGGGCATCCATGAGGTGTCCCTGGCCAGCTCCCCCTTCCCTGCAGGGGGAGATAGGCCGGGAGATGTACATCATCCAGGCGGGACAGGTGCAGGTGCTGGGGGGACCCGACGGCAAATCCGTGCTGGTGACTCTGAAAGCTGGATCTGTCTTTGGGGAAATCAGGTGAGAGAAGCACTGTCAGGGAGCCGGGGAAATACAGCCTGTGGGTGGGAAGCGGAGGGATCAGCAGCATCCCAATTAATCTTTGTGACTGAGAACCGTGAATGCTGGGCAGAGGCTGAGACACAAATTACAGCTTTCCTGCTGTTTCTGTCATCGTGTTGTCTTCTGCCTGGGGAGCTGGGGATGGAAAACAGGGGAATATGGATGGAGGAATGGGAAAATTGATCAGAAAAGGTGTTTCACAAACACAGTCTCCCAGTCATTAACCCTGCCCTTCCACGGGAATGAAAAGCCCTGCACCAGTTGTTAACACAGCAACACTGCTGCTTCCCCACAGCCCAGCAGACACCAGACTGGTGTTAAACACAATATTTAACCCTTCAAACCCACAAATAATATTTTATATAGTACTCCATGCAAGGTTTCCCTTTATCATTCTTTAAAAACAGCACGATAAATCCCATCAGGAGTGAAAATTAATCTCTGAGTCCCCTGAAAGAGAGAGGTGCAGAGGTGTAAAGGAGATTTGCAGTTCTGAGCCTGCCAACAGAGGTGTTGATGTCTCGCATTGTCTCTCCCAGCCTGCTGGCAGCAGGAGGGGGAAATCGCCGCACAGCAAACGTCGTGGCCCACGGCTTCGCCAACCTTTTCATTCTGGAGAAGAAAGACTTGAACGAGATTTTGGTGCATTACCCGGAGTCCCAGAAGCTGCTGCGCAAGAAAGCCAAGTGCGTGTTGGGCTGCTGGGCTGCTGCTTTCTAACCTGCGGGGGTTTAAAACCAGCAGAGCCGGGGCCTCGCAGTCTCGGGGGGGTTTTCTCTCGGCGCGGAGCCCTGGGGATGCTCCCGGAGCGGAGCTGGGCTGCGGCCGCCGTCCCTCGGCAGAGGGCACCCGGGCCCCGGCGCTGAGCGGAGCCTCCGCCGGCCGAAACCCGCCTGGCACAGCGGCTGGAGCCGGGCACGGAGCGCGGCCAAAGCGCCTTCGCTTAAAAATCCCTGTAAAGATTCCGTTTAACATTTAGCATCGCTCAGATTTGTTGTCCACAGCGGGTGGAGCTGGGCAAGGAGCGCGGCCAAAGCGCCTTCGCTTAAAAATCCATGTAAAGATTTGGTTTAATATTTAGCATCGCTTAGATTGGTTGTTCTGTCCTCGATAAGACACACAAAGCTCCTTGTGCTTTCAACGCTTGGTTTCTCTGCATTATAAAATCCAGCTAACGCAATGTTCCTGGACTGACACCACCTCTCCCTTCCCGTGCTGCAGGAAAATGCTGAGGAGCAACAACAAACCCAAAGATGAGAAGGGAGGCCCCGGAGATGCGCTGGTCATCCCCCCGAAAGCGGAGACCCCAAAGCTGTTCCGGGCTGCCCTGGCGGCCACGGGGAGGATGGGGGGCAAGGGGCCCCTGGGGCGGCTCCGCTGGAGGCTGCAGGAGCTGCAGGAGCTGCAGGCGATGCAGGAGCTGCAGGCGATGCAGGAGATGCAGGCGATGCAGGAGGCACAGGCGATGCAGGAGATGCAGGCGATGCAGGAGGCGCAGGTCAGCACGGGGAGCAGCATAGACATCCGGCTTTGCTTCCTTAGATACCGAGTGTGCTCTCCCCACCAGCTCTGGAGGGGTTAAGGTGCCTTAAAGAACCGAGCTCAAGCTGTTGGGGTCTGTCAAAGCGTGGGCAGGCAGGAAGGGGTGACCCAGCATCTTGCACAGGCCTTTGGTGGAGTGCCAGTGTTTTGCTACACAAAAGGGAAATACATTAAATGTTTGCCTGCCTGTGCTAAGCCTGAGCCAAATTTCTAGCTAGGCTATAGCCACAGATGAATGAATGTATCTTCTATCCTGTAGACACAGGATAATTAATCATAATTATGATTAATAATTAATCAATATATGAATCAATTAATCAATGCACCCACAGCCCAGTTGATGTCCCAAATCTTTCCCCAGGTGACCAGGACAGAGGTGCCCACAGCCTGCAATGCCATCCTGCCACCTCTGCAGGAACCCCTTGCTTTTTGCCACGAGCAGCTGAAAAGGAAAACAGCCCTGTACCTTTTTCCCCCCTCCTTTTTTATTTCCAGCTGTCTCAGCTAAACTTGTAAGGGAAGTTTTGTCTCCGTGCAGCCCCTGCTGTTGTTGTTCTCAGCATGGAGCCAGGCACACTTATCACATCTGGATGTGCACAGGGAGGGAGGGAGGAGCTGCCAGGGAGTGCAGTGACCTTGGGGCTGGGTAAACACCAGGCTGATGCCAAGCATTGCTGCATTTCTGCAGCCCTCCAGAGGCTTGAGAAGCCTCAAACCACGTGTTGTTTATCATTAATCCATAACCAGTTAAGAGCAGCAGTGAGCAGTGGCACTGTGGGCTCTGAATGAGGGAAAAGAAGCCCTGAAACAAGTGCTGAAGGGTGAATGAACTGGAACTGACCCCACTGGTGGGTAAGCAGGACCTGCTGAGCAGAGGACATCCCTCTCCTTGGCACATCCCTGGGGCTGGCTCCTAATGCTCCTCTCCAAAGGAGCTCAGGGCAGGCTGGGGCTGCTCCCTCACAGCAGCTCTAGCACCAGGTTTGGCCAAGACCAGCCCTTCCAGAAGCTTCAGGAGCAAACCAGGAGTGTGACAGTGTTCACAGGGGTCCCAGGAAGAGGGGAGAGACGAGGATCTGACTCCATGTTTCAGAAGGCTTTATTTATTATTTTATGATATATATTACATTAAAACTATACTAAAAGAAGAAGGGATTTCATCAGAAGGCTAGCTAAGAATAGAATAGGAAAAGAATGATAACAAAGGTTTGTGGCTCGGCTCTCTGTCTGAGCCAGCTGGGCTGTGATTGACCATTAATTAAAAACAACCAACATGGGCCAATCACAGATGCACCTGTTGCATTCCACAGCAGCAGATAATCAATGTTTACGTTTTGTTCCTGAGGCCTTTCAGCTTCTCAGGAGGAAAAATCCTAAGGAAAGGATCTTTCATAAAAGATGTCTGTGACACCAAGAGTTAGTGCAGAGGTGGGAGAGCTCTGCTGTGCTCCTCTCTCTGTGCTTCTCAAGACATGCAGGATAGAATCCAGCAGCCCCTCTGGCCTCAAGCTGGCATCCCAGTGCAGAGATGCTGTGCTGGAACCACAGAACTCTGCCCAGCTTTGCCATGTTAGGGATCGTGGGCAAGGATCTGCTAAGGGGGTTTTTGCCTCTTTTTTAACTTTTCATTGCAGGGTTCCAGTGTCAGCCCAACTCCACCGAAGTCACCAGTGCACCAGAGATCTCCTGTCGCATCCCGCAGAGCACAAACCCGCCCAGGAGGAGAAATATCCTCAGAATCTCCTGATCATTCAGTCACCATCCGTGTCATCTCCACAGCAAGAGAGGATGAGGAAATCCTTGCTGCTGAGATTTCAGAGAAAGGTGAAAAGGAAGAAGAGCAATGAAAGAGCAGCAGGGCCCAGGGCAGGCATAGGAGTCAGGCAAATGCCTGGGCCAGCAGATTCTTGTTGTTAATGATTTCCATGCAGTGGCTGTAGGTTTTGCTATGTGCTGTGGGTAGGATCTGCCTCTCCCTTCTGCCCAGACCCTCAATCATTGCATAAAACCCTCTGCCATTTGACCCAGAACCATGTAAGGTTTCTCCACTCTGCACCTTTATGAATTCCCCACTAAATCTCAGGTCAGCCCTCTTGCTTTGTGGAAGGAGAGCTATGGAAAAATTGCTTTTTATGGCTCTGGATGGTTAATGAGTGTTCAGACAAAGCATGAAGAGTTATTCACCTCTGACAGCTGAGTCACCACTTGGCTAGAAACAACCCAGGGAAAAAAAACCACAAGGTTTCTCTGTTGGGCTCAAGGTTGACAGCAGCAGTGGGGAGTGATTCATCTGAAAAGGATGTGGGCTATGCTCACAGGCCAAGCTTGACTCGCTCACAGACCAAGCTGTCATGAGAATGCCAAGCTCTGTCCCCAGTGCACAGACTGCAAGGTGCCTGAGGGACCCTCGTGGTGCCAAGACCACCTTGGCTTTGCCATGGGAGGAATCCTTGCTGGGAAGGTGGTGGGCTCTCCATGGCTGGGGGCTGTTATGAGGAGATTTGATGAGCATCTTTCAAGGACGGAGAAGCACAATCCTGGATGAGATAGATGTTCCTGGAGTTCTTTTCCAGCCTTGGGATTTTTCTGTGCTGCCACTGCTGGGAGGGATAAACAGAGAGCAGGAAGGGAGAACTGAGCTGGTTCCCAGCTGGGAGGGGAAAGAGAAGGGCAGTGAGTGCTCTCCTGTCCCAGACAGTGTTTCAGAGTCAGCTCTGAGCCTGCCATGTGCCAACAAGCATTCATGACCATGCAGGGGCTCCCCTGCACTCCCTGCTGGACCTCAGTGCCATCCTGTCACAGGAGCCCCCTCCAGCCAGGTCTCACAAGCTCTCAGAGGTCTAAAACACACCCAAGACAGCTCAGCTACCTTTGGAGGCATAGAAATCAGCAGGATGGCTTCTGTTGCAGTGTTGGAAACAAAAAGGTTTAATAAAAGGCAAAATAAGAAACAGAGAAGAACCAAGCCAGGTGCCGGAGGTTCTTGCTCCTGGTAAAACAGCTCACAAAAGTGATTACTTTCTTTATTCTCTTCTTTTGCTAGTTAATTGCTCAGGCAGGACTTTTTGGCTTCTGTCCAATTAGCTGTCCTTAAGTTTGAGGTGAAGTCCCCTAGGTCTATGAGATGTCTTTTCACCTAATTGAGGAGAGAAACTTCTGGTCTCCTTTCCTTTTTGAGTGGATGAAGGAGAGTTCTGTCACTCCATCAACAGGGGACACATTCCTGCAGCACCCCCATTTCCAGCAGGCAATTTCCAGCCCTTCAGCCACCTCAGGCTGGCTCCTGGCCACATTCAGGAGAGAGAAGCCACTCTGGTGCTGCTCATCACTCAAGCCATGAAGCTGTGCTGGACCAGGTGTTGGAGGGGAAGGCGAACATTGCTCAGCACCCAGCTGAGGGCTCAAGGTGCCCCATCTTCCTCCAGCACCACCAGCTCCCTCCTCATCCTCCTCAAGCCAGCCCCCAGCACGGTGAGCTGAGAGGGGCTGAGGAGCAGTGCACGAGGCAGGGCTGGATGAGGTTTGAAGATCCCTCCCAAGTTTTGGCTGTCCATTCCCACAGAGAGGAGCCACTTCCCATCCTGGGGAGGAGCAGCTGGGGCAGGTTTGCTGCAGGGAGCAGCCCTGTCCCCGTGGCCAGGGCACTCCCAGGGGTTCAGCAGATGCAGGGAGCAGAGCTGCAGGTTCCACAGGTCTGGCTGTGACACAGGGAGGGGTGGCAGGGCTGCTGTCACCCCCTGGGTCATCCCTCTTCCCATCCAGGCTGACCTTCACCTCCTCTGGGATCTCCTTCTGTTGCTTTTCCCCCCTCCTCTCTTGCAAAATGTATGGGTTTCTGTGGCAAAAAATAAAGCCAGAATAGGTGTCAGCCTTAGTTAATAATGCCTTGCTTTCTTTATAAACAAATTTAATGAGCTCCACTGTACTGCAGGGGGTTCTGAAGCCATCACAATGCAGGGGAGAGCCTGCACTCACCCAAACCTCCCTGAAGATTTCTCATCCTCAGTCATTTGCCAGTGGTTTCCATTTGCCAGGCAGAAGATTTTGATGGGGAGTGAAAAGTTGCAGGTTTTTTTCACTCTTTAAATATTTATGTAATCAAACCAGGAAATGTGCAAAAATCAAACTGGGGCTCTGATTTACTTCTATGATTTAATTTTCTTTAGAAAAAGCTTATAAATAAATAGTGGGCTGTAATTGCTCTCATAATTCACTGTATCTACAATAAACACCATGTAGATTACCATTTATTTGGTGTGGATTTATTTCAACATTCCAGCTGTTATTTTGACTTCTTGCTCGCTCATGCACTGACAGAGCCAGAAAATCCTCACATGCAGGTCAGATTTCCCAATAAATAATTAAGAGGCTCAGAGGTCACATAATACTGGTAGTAGAATTGTAATTTGTCTTTAATCACCAACAGGAGGAGAAAAAAAGCTTTCTTAAATAGAAAAGATTGCTTGAAGATCTTAGTTTTCAACAGGCAGCATGAGGTGGTGATGGATACACAACTGGTAATTCTGGAACCATGGGGAGATCTGAAATTATCCCTCTCTGTGATCTGTTTATGGCTTTAGTTCTTTGGAGAGATTATTCTCCAGGTAATAATTAAGGTCAAGATAGGGCTAGACTTGCAGGCTGGGCTGGGAGTTGAGCTCAGGTCTGTTTGCTCTGCTCTGTTTGGAGATGAGGACAGAGACTTCAGTGCCTCTTGTTTTGGGGTTGCCATGGCTTGGATTTCTTCTGTTGAACTTTCAAATTCCACTCATTTACCAGTTTTTTCTGTATTTCCAGTGGGCTTCCTTTGCACTGGCTCCAATAAATACCTTGCAGAGCGCACTCATCACTCAGTGTTCCTTCCCCTGCCCTTGGAACATTCCTGATGGGTTTGGTAACACTCCATGTACCTTTGCTGCATTTCTTATTAGCTTTTGCTCGTTCCTCTTGGTGTCCTCAAGCCTGGGGTCGATCTGATATGAGATCCTCTCTTCTATTAATGCAGCACTTGGGGAATCTTGACAGGCAGCTGCTTATTGCCATAGAAACCAGGTTTTCTTGCTGTGATATTTTAGCTGTTGCAGCTTTTTAGTGAAATGAGTGGAGTAGAGAAGGGCTGGAGGAAGGAGCAGAGCTTGTCCTTGGAGCTGTGGGAATGTGGAAGGTTTTGCCTCACTGTCACCAGTAACATCTTTACTGGAGGCTTTATATATACTATTTGTACTTTTATATATGTAATTATTTTTTTTATATACTGGGGGTGTATTCATATTCCTTGTGGCCTGTGTCTTTCAGAGAACTGACACTGATTCAATGTTCTGTAGGAAGTTAGAGAAGACAAATGCCTCCCATTAGAGAAATCAGCTGACAGAAGGAACAGTGCAACCCACCACAGGCATCTGGCAGTGGAGGGAGTTATTTTCCCCTGGACAGAAACAGGGCAGGTAGCTTCTCTGTATTTATAGCCAGAGAAATCTTTTAAAAAGATTAAGTGCAACTGCAGGTTAATCACTGATAAGGTTGTAACGAAAGTAAAAGCAAATAAGCAGGTTTGGGGATTAGACTCAGGTCCAGAAAGAAATTGCAGGATAAATGGAAAGCCCAGTAACATGGTGTTTAATTAGGAAGCTTGGAATAAAATTAAGCACTTCAACCTTGAAACCTGCAGACCTCAGCCAGCAGCAGGACACACTCCTAGTTTGGGAACAGTCTGTAACCCACTTTTTCTGTCTATATATATTTTTTTCCTTTGTGTAGCTCTGCTTTGAGTGACACTTGCATATAAATCTGTCTGAATCCCTTTTGCCTTCCCCTCAAACGGAGCTAATAAAGTCTGGTTTTCTCTGCTCTGAGCACACAGCTCCTTTTAAGTGCATCAATGGTCCCACTGGAGTTATCACCCTGAGAAAACACGAGAGCACCTTTGGAAAGGGGTTCACAACCAATGGATGCCCATGGCAGCTCCTGTTAGCAGCAGCTGAGGCTCAATGACCTTTCCCTTTCTCATTCTTTCCTCATTTACCTGTTCTGGTTTTGGGATGAAACTTGCCCACTTTGGTTCATGCCCAAGGGTGAGTGTCCAAGGGGGATCTGTGCAGTATCAGGGTTTGATCACCTGAAGAACTGAAGCCTAGAAACCTTTGTTCTTTCCTGCAGTTTCTCTGCTTTTACAAATCCCTTGATGCACGAGGAGAGCTGGTAGTGGAACAGTTAAAGCCTCAAAACTTTTCTGGGATAAACTGGAAGAAATTTGAGAAGAAATGTAAACAGCTGGGGAAGTGAGATAAATGAGGTGGTGGGGATGGCAGGGAGCACCCCTGCAGCTCTGGGCTGTGACATCCTGGGGACAAACAGCGTGGCCCAGATGGCTTCACAGGGTTTGCAGATGCTCATTTTGCAAGCTGAGCTCAGCAGGACCATCCCTGCTCCCTCCCCAGTTTTATTTGCCAGAAATGATGGGTAGGGCTGGCTCTGCCTCCCGCACTGGGATTGCTGCTGGGGCTGGGGGAGCATCCTGGAGCCCCCAGGGATGCTCTGGATGTGTCCCAGGAGAGCATCACACGGGTGGTCCGAATTTGCCCCATGGTGAGCATCACACGAGCTGCCCCACGATGCCTCAGCACTGAGCAGAGGAATGAAGACAGCCAGAGCAGTCACTCATTGTGGATAAGAGGCTCTTTTGTGCTGCAGAAATGCCAAAATCACGTGCAAATCCCTCCGCTGCTGCCATGGTTACTGGCCACTGGCAGGCGAGAGGAGGCTGTGGCACTGACAGGGTTTCTGCTCCTCCCTTTATAGGGGAAATCCCATAAAACCTGCATTCTGCCCCAAAAAGGAGGGGAGGTGGCATGACAGGGATTCTGCTCCTCCTTTTACAGGGGAAACCCCATAAAAGCTGCATTCTGCCCCAAAAAAAGAAGGAAGGAGGCATTGACAGGGCTTCTGCTCCTCCCCTAACAGAGGAAACCCCATAAAAGCTGCATTTTGCCCCAAAAAGGGGGGGAGGTAGCTGCAGGGAGCCCTCTGCACACCTGAACATTGTGATGCTCAGAGCTT